ACGCCATCTGTCTCGCCAGTTTTTATTGTGAGTCCTGGTGTAGGTGAAAATGTCACCCGCCTTCATTTGCCTGACTCTCCAACTCCTTCGGACACCTGTCGAAACTCCTCCTAGATTCCTATACTGCTGACTTATTCCTTCCACCTGAAAGTGCACTGATTACATAGGTGAATAATAAATAAATAAATATTTTATTCTCATATTGGTAATTTAGCATGAGGAGAGCCAGTTTACAGGCACCACCACATTGATATGTGTTGGAAAATGTATCAGGTTTTACGGGATCTAAATGGCACGGAATGGAGGTCATTAAATTAGATTAAGAACATCGGAAGATTACACAAGTCATGAAATAAACAAAAAATACAAGTTTTCAGCATATATAGAGTGTTAATGTTTGGATCGTTTTCAGTCATAATTTCTTTTTTCACCAATATTGGCACCAAGGTTGCGCGAAATTCTAAATTTCCGTTACAGGCAATCGACTTGTTTGATTCGTCTTCACGATGCCCCGTCACGCTGTATAAACGTCTATTTTGCCACAAATTCTTATGCTTATAGCTCCGGGTGCCAGAAGAACCCACACTGACGATGTTGAGAACCTGTAATTTTTCACATAATCACGTAATCCAAGTGAATATCTGTTCAAGCGTTATCATTCACGCAGTCTAGATTTACATATTATCACCAACAACTTCAATATATGGTGAACGTCCCGGGGTGATACGCAAGTGGCCTAAACACATTTCGCATTAACGCCTGGTCTATGGCGGGTAAATTAGCATATTTTAGATACTGATAGTTCAGCCTTATTCAATATCAACCAATGAGGCTTCGTGCACATCTGAACTGAATAGCGACTTCCCTATGACGCATCCACTGTCTGGCAGACCACAGTAGTGAGTTAGTGAATAGAATAATTGAAGGCTTTCACTATGCTTTTATATCGATTAGTTTAAAAACCTGTTTAAGTATTGGGCTAACAAGAAGTTCACACTCAATATGCTTCACTAAATTTTTCTGCTTTAATCTGGTTTGATCCTTCTGATGTCTTTCAAAAGTATCATATACTGTGGCATATTTTTGAAACATTTCAACCAGCAATTTTCAAGTCAACAGTATGTTGGGGTGTGTGTTACCATTACATAACGTTTGACCAACCCTTCTTAACTTGATGTGCTCTAGTACCTGCTTAACCAGTACCTCACCTAACGTGCAAGCAGTTATAACGAAACACAAGTCAAAAGAACTGGTTAGGGAATATATTCGAAGAAGTAATGTATTTAATTAGGGTAAATGTAATAGTGATGAATAGGGGAAAAGTTTATCCAACTTATCTGGCTAGTACGGCTGAGCTAGGGACTCCGAGTACGTGCATGCTAACCAGTACAAAGGGAGCGCAAAATGGCGTTGAAGCCTGCTCGGATGCATGCTCGTTAAAGCAAAACTTAAAACACCTAAAGCATCCGGAGGCGAGCTAGAGGTTTAGTTAGTTAGTTTAATCTATTGATTTTAGCCCTAGTTATATTTCGGTGCCAGGTAGGTGCACTACAATATGTCGAGTGGAAACGTTGCTCTGGACGGAGACGGCTTTTCAATGCACAAATTTCTGTGCATTACTATTCCTAGAACAGTCAACCCACACCGTGTATTTTTGTCATGTCTGACCGAGTCACCATCTCCAGACTTACGCCCGACTTACAGTTTTCAAAGATTATCGTGGTGCGAACTTGATTGATGCAGAGGCCAATCACTAATAATTCCAACTTGTTATGTACCCACGAATATGAGACCAAGAAAGAACACAACAGCGTCGACTGGTGGAATAGTATATTTGGGTGGTTGTGTCAAGATACCGATGCGTTCCGACGAACTGGCTGGAGGTCGACTACGTGCAGTGCAACATAGCACGACAGCGTGCCAAATGGCAAGGATGCTTGACTGGGTGCCTTCAGCTTAATGAGACCAGTTAAACTATGGAGGTCAGTTTCGATGTTGAATCTCGTTGAGCCATAGCAGTTGATTCTAAATAAGTATGTGACGCCAAAAGGTCATTCCACAATTTAGAATGGACGTTAATATGACACCAGCTGGAAGCATAGTGTTCTTGCCTTTAATACTATCACTAACAACATCTTTTGATGCAGTAACTAATTGCCTTTAACAACACTGTTCGGGAAGTTTATCGCTGAAAATACTGCGTACTGAGGATTCCGTTCTGCATCAAGCATGTTGTTAGAAAAACAGTAACCACTTTTAATGCACCAAATGTCACCCGTTGGATTATTGGGGGTGATTTTAAAAGGCGTGAAGCTGGATGCGAACCGATTTATGCTCCACCTCGATACAGCAGCCTCTTGAATGCAACCGGGTTGTCCAGATGGGTACAAACCACATTCAAGCCTACTGCAGACAATAATATTCTAGGTGTCTCATCGACCGAAGATGTCCCCCTGTCTGTGTCTACGTCAGCCTGCCGTCCTCAAATAGTTACCATAGCACAAACGTTTCTCGCCTAAAAACTGATTCGAGCTTCGGGCGACCGCACACTAGTACCTCGGTCGGCGCTGGAACACACAAAGTGGGTATATTACTGTGTAAAGCATGATGTGAACACTCATAGGGAATCAGTACTTGATAATACATCTCCAAGTCAAGGAAAGTGCTCAGTTCTTGGAAGGCGCCAATCTCTAGAAGAGGTAACCGAACCGTAAGAAGATATACAGACCACTGATGCTCTTACCCATACTCTTTCAGGTGATGCAGTCGTTTATTTATGAGTGACTGAGGGATCGCTTCATTTCGGTTAACTTCTGTATGCACAGATTTAGAAAAAAGTACCTTTTAATAGCTTGCTTTCTTACCGCAGTAGACAGATTGGTATTGTCGACCACAGATCCTAGAGCGATTTTATTTATCTGGACTTCTCAAAAGCGTCTGATCGTGTTGCTCAGGACTGCCTAACTGATAAAATAAAGCCAGTAGAAATCAGACCACTACTCATGAACTGGTTGTCTTCATGTGTACGTGGCCGCCTGCTCAGATTTCCTGCACGTTTTTCCGTGGCTAAAGAAATATAATATCCAAGCGGAGCTTCCCTGGGTTCAGCGTTAGGGCCCGCTTTTTCATGAATGGCCATTTTCTGGGTTATTTCTTTTGACAGTGATGTGCAACCACAGGGGGAAATCAGAAGTCTGAGGGTTAGTATCTCCTTACAAGAAAACTTAACTTCAGAAGTGGGCGATCAGGTATGGGCTTGCCTTCAGACTTGATAAACCCAAGGTCGCACATCTAAGACACGATGCACGTAGTACATGAAAACCCATTGGTATGGGAATGGTGTTGCAGGTTGAGAAGCGCGTCGTAGTCCTTTAGGAAATGAGTTCACGTGCCGACTACGGCAGAAACGCATGTCGTGGCACTAGCAGCTCTTACACAGATCTTCAAGCGGCTCGATCTTGGACGTCCCTGGCAAATTTTTGGCGGTTTCGTGCGGCCTCACCCGGAGTTCGGAGTTTGCCTGAAGAAGTAACTTCCACGGAGTCGTAAAAAGTCAGATGTTTTCTCCATTTCACTGGAATTTCACAAATATATTCCATTTATATTTGAACCGATCCCCATGACAGACATCAAGTCACGCCAATCCATATGCAGGTTCCAAGCACCACTCATCAAATTATGGACTGAAAAGTTTCACTGGCGAGGGTGCTGGAGACGGTAGTCGCAAAAACCACAACTTCCCGCTTAGAATGCAGTCCTCTGTTATATTGACCGCAATATGGTTTCCGTAGATGTTTCCGATGCCTGATAAGTTTCACAGCCACAGAAATTTGGGTAAAATCAAAGAATGATGGGTTATCTTTAGGTAGAATTCTGGCAAAACTGGGTAACACATTCGACAGGGTATCTCCTTTGAGTTTGATCGCAAAACTGAAACGTTTCGGGGTCAGTAGCAATCCTTTTGCGTGGATCAGTGTTCCTAGTTGGTAGAAGGTAAAGAATGAAGTCCGATTTTCAGCTCTCCCCTCGCAATTTGGCAGGGAGTGCCGTGCCTCGGGGCACTATCTAGAGGCACTATACCATTTTTCCCGTACGCGAGCAAACTACTGAATATCACGAAACCACTCGTGGTTATCTGTAGTGATGGTGCGGAAATCTAGAGGGAACTTGGGAATAACGGAGATATATGTACATTTCGGACAGGCATGAAGAGATCGTTGACCTGGTCAGGGAAATGTCTAGTGCCTAACGACACAGGCAAGTATGTGAGGACGCACATATCGATGGGAGTGCTATATCCTCAGAACCGGCTCACAATAACCAGAAGGTCAACTTAAGATTTGAAGACCATAACGTCTGGTAATAACTCAGAGTAATAGAATAATTTGAGAACTTCATATATTATTTACCGATTAAAGTGGAGATATGTTCATCACTTCATGCTCATCCTTATTAGATCTAAAGTAGATGACTGTACCCAAGCGGTGAACGGGTTACAGAAAGGCTGTCAAGACTCAAAAATAGCTCGAAACGACACCCAGTTACGTGCTCTTTGCCACACAATGAAAGACTTTGAGCGCTAAACATATTCACCTCATCCTAAGGCTGGATAGGAGACCAAAGCACGCAACACAGGATTATAAGAAATGGTTTAGGGTATGGTTTGCACAAATTGCCAATCACCGGTTATTAGTGGTCGCAACATACGAGTGCGAGACCGGGTAAGAAAATGATACAATGGTCAGGTGGAACAGTACATTTGATGGCCTGCACCATGCTGCACGAAAGAAAGGAACACACGGATCAAAAATTCTGAATTTTCGGAAGATGCCCCACAACTTCGTTGGATGGAGCGACGCAGCGATGTTCAAAAAGGAGTGCTACTAATGAAAGCTTCTCGAAAGATAAGAGGTTTGAACACGTTCACCCATATTAAACGGTTAGGTATGTTTCTAAACATCCCGAGAACCCAATAGTATGAACTAAAAGCGGTTTTCGTTATGTGGAAGGCAACCGAGCATCGATCCTGCTGGGTAAGCCCTTGAGAAGTTCAGTGACCCTATCCCCTGCCTGTTGGCCAATGTGACGCATGGAGTTGCAGTCTGGTATGACTTTAGGGTTGAGCCAAATGAAGTCTACATTCAGACTCCAATTGTTGCTATCTCTTTGAGAAACCATACGAGATAGTGACACCAAAAGACCGTCTGACGCTTTAGTAATGCAAAGTTCAGGCATATGATAGGACCCGCTTTCCGCAATTTCCAGCTTCTTGGGGAGTAGACGGCGTGCTTTGGATGCCACAGATGAACCACTGGTTGTGATGCGAAACATAACATTGCTGGTTATGTACTGCAAACCAGGCGTTGGCTTTCTTGACTCTGAATATTTGTCTACCACTATCTAATTGGACGAGTTTACAACGTTTTGTTCCAACTCTGACCAAACTACTACGTGATTGGACGGTTCCGCTAACAGGTAATTTTGTCTTACTACCTATCAGTCATCACTGATGGTCGTCACAATTCCGTGAATCCATGCTAATCATGGGCACGACAACACCAGCCAGAAGAAATATCCAAAGGATAGGTTTGCGTAAATTTACTTTGAGGTGGGCATACCTTTTCCTAAAGGTTGCGACTGCTCTGACGTCGGACGCATGAAAATTGGAGAATGGTTCATGGTGGCATTCATTTGTGGTCACGTGAACAACGCTAGCTTTGCGTCAGTGTCAACATGATAGCGATATTTCTTTTTCTTGTCGGCAGAGCACAAAAACTGCTTTTACTGAAGGCTAGGATTGCCGTTAGCGTGTACCCGTGGGGTTGTTTCACCGGTTTCGTGAAGTCTTTTAGTCAAGTGCATGACTTTCGGCAATTTCTGGAGTCTTCGCAACAGGTGTTTTGCAACCAGCGCTATTTAGAATCTCTGACGAAGCGATATCCGGCTTTTGAACAACCACTGTGAAATAATGTGAGGAGAGGAAACACGTTGCTGTGTCATACGCCATAACCAAAGTCCTTGAAATCGCGGAAGCTACCTAACGGGGGTATCTTAGTTCTGTCATTCTCATTCCTAACCCTTCGGTTTCTCAGTGGCGGACAAGGTGATGGAGACAGGTCTACTAGAGATCTCAAGTGTTATCACCTAATGCGACCAGATAATCGATGGCAATCGACTGGAGTATCAACAGTACCGTTTGCACATGCCGTGGTAGTTTCGGGAGGAACAGTTCACGGAAAAGATTATAGTAAGGCAGCCACTGGTCAGTGACTTCTCCCATGTATGAGAGCATGTGGGTAGCTGGAGCACCCTCATCTGGATGTTATGTAGCAGCTCATCCAAGCTTTCGCGATCCGTGAAATCGCTTTTCGTCGGAAGTGCTGCTCCTAGCAGTGCATTCAGATAACGTGTTTCAGGTGTAAAGGTGCATATTATGACGTACCAGCTTAAATTCTGTTAGACAGGCCATGTGATAGCAAGAAATCGATAATGTGAATCTTTGCGCCCAGCTCCCAAAAGTCAGCTTCGGCGTACAGAAACCATGTTTCCGCGTTGTCAAGTGCTCCTTTCACGTATTACGTAACCAACTCTTAAGACCGCGTCCCAGATATAGTGGTATCCGGGCTCACTAGCTCCTTCAAAGAGAACCACAAACTCACTCAGATATACTAGAAAACGGCTTACGCAGTCCAATAGCCTTCTACCTTCAAATCTCAAACCTGGATCTGAAGATATTAACCTGAATCTGAGATGGGAATTTCAAAAGTGAACTTAACCTTTTCTCATCTTCGCTTCTCCTCATAAAAAACAAGCCAACAGTTTTCAATAGTAAAATTTTGATCACCTAGCCACAACTTTCAGAGCCAAAAGAAGACATACTGACAAATCTGTGGTCTCTGAAGGAGGATAACCCATTGAAAACAAATGAGCCTGAAGGAAGGAATAACCGTCGTCGTTCGAAACTTAGCAGTTTCCTTTGCTCGTACTATTGATATTTTGATGTGATTAGGACATTCCACAACAACAGAGAAGTCGAACGCAAGCACTCATTACTTGTTGTGTCCGCAATTCGAAGTTCGAGGAAATTTGATTGAATAGTGAAGACATTTAGTTTTCGTCTACTAAGTTTTCGTGGTTGACGCAGTGCGCGACTATCAAAAACAGTTTAGTTGGTGAGTCCGTCTTACTACTATCTAGTAGTGCTGCTGAGTTGTATGCTTGTGCGCCTTTACTCCACATTTTGATTAAGTTTTCGTGAATCTTAGGGGGTCCCACAATTTTTTATAAAGTTTCTTTACGTATTTCCCCTTCGTTAAGGTTTTACGAAACCTTATATTGTTACGATTTTGAGAATCTTGACTGATCTTCACAGGTCATCAGGAAACTTATGTGATACAAACAAGGGTTTTGATATGACGGGTGTATTAAATATCCCAATAATTGCTCCTGAAATATGGTCTTAAGACCATATTATACAATTAGAAGACGCATTATATAATAGATGTGAACGTCGTGATTGTATCAGTGCGAACAATCGCAGTATCAAAGGAAGTAAGCCGATTGTTGGTTTACACCTATCCTATGAGGTGTCAACAAAAGTGGATTAAGTCCGGATTGAGATAACCGATAAAAGATCAGAGCCGTGACAAAGTAAGAGTAGTAGTGTCTTCCAATATCCAGCATTAACATTACTAAACCAATGTAACTTTTGTTAGCTTTTGCAGTGTTTTTAAGTTAAAATCTAGTTTCTCTTTGAATGTGTCCTCCGAAGGAGCTGTTCGGGTAGGGAGCTTCAGTTCTTCACCATCCTATGAGGTGTGTATTCCTAGATGATTTTGACCGTCCTGATCGATACCTGCTACCTAGACATGGTAATCGAACTTGCATTCATACCGACCCAGCAGATGGTGCTGGTTGGGATACTAGTTTCTTTTAAATCCTATCATACCACAAAGGTCTACTGAGTAGCGGTAAAACAAAAAGCAGTTACTGTTATAGTGTAAATTGCCATACTATGATGAGGGTCTAAGGGAAAAATCGTGCTGCTGACTTGGTGGACATGTGACGACAGTGACATGTCTATCACGGATTGTCAACAGTGGCATACTGCCGCCTCCTTCCCTATAAGAGGGCTCTTAAAACTTCTACCCTACAGTCTTCCGACGCTAATGTGTGGGTCCCCTCCCTACATACAAGTCAATGAGTTAAACTTGGACTCATCTTAGAGACTGTATGTGACTAACCTCAGCAAGTGTCCCTCGGTCTCTGAATTCAAACCACTGTTACTAATCCAATCTCTATTTTAAATACCTATAGAAGAAGTAACCCACAGTTTTGGCTGTCGCGAAACGTCAACTCGCCTCACAACTCTTGCAGCACTCAGACTCCTTCAGATCACTACCAATCTTCAGCGTCACGTAACTTTTCATCACGCCACTCAGACAATACTCCTACACCATCTTTGATTCCTTGCGTCTCTGCAGCTGTCGATAACGACTCCAGTTCATGAGTCATCTCTGGTTTCCTGAAACCGCATTGCAAACTACACATTGGAGCTTTCAGTGTCTATACCGTTCGTCAAGCCTATCAACAGGCCTCACTAGTCAAAACTCTAGCATCTCAGGTTACGAGTATGTGCTGTTTGTGAGGCACGCATACACAACCTAAGCGTGGTTATTCACTTAGCCTCATTTGGTAAATATAGTGGATGTCCAAAATCTAACCCTGTAATTCCTGAAAATTTGATGATTAATCCAAGTGTAGGTATAGCATTAAATCGTAAGACAGAAAGTGCACTGCTTGACTGAATCCAAGTTGACAGTCGCCCATTCGTTTTCAAATGAATGACATAGTGAGGACCGAAAATAATGGTGAACCACCGCTGTTTCTTTGTAATCTCTACACACCCCGTGACTACAGTACGAAAAAAGGGAAGGATAAGTTCTTCGGAAAACTGTCTAGCCTCATACTGGAAGCCAAACGTTGACGTGGTTGTTGTCACAGGTGATTTCAATGCACGAGTAGGTAGGCTGGTGGGTATGTCTACACCTAAATGGACACTGAAAAACTACAGCCACAAAACCATTCCGAGCGCAGCTTGGGGATGGGAATTCTTAGGCTGCTTCCAGTGAGAAACTGGCTTAACAGTTTTTAGAACAATACAGTACCACTGATTCAGAAGAAGCTTAACGCCATCTCTAATCTGATGTACAAACCGTGTTAGAGGCCAAGTGACCATAAGAAGAATGTTAGAAAGGTTCAGCAAGTCTCAGCAGCTTCTGAAATAATGGATGGACGCGAATCCACCATGCAGCGCGGAAGCAACTCAAATATAGACTGGCAAGAAGTTTACAAAATGACCATGAGCAGTGTTAGCGAAGTCTAAAGAGATTGAAAAGGTTGCATCTGTGTAAAAGTAGACTGTTATTTAGACTTGCCAAGAAAAATGGCGAAAATACCAGCGGTTAGTCAGAATATGATGGAGAAGGATCGGTTTTTGACTTAGGGAAGACGACTGGAACGATGAGTTGAGCAGTTCAACTGGTATCCAGCTACTATTCAGTCGCCCTTTATCAGGTTTGGCTCTGAATGGGATACTGAGATAGGACTTTTCAGTTAGAGCAAAAGTTGAGGAGGCTCTAAGCAATATGAAGTGAGAAAGGGCAGGAGGCCCCAAAGGACCAGTTCTAGAGGTATTGAAGGACGACGACCGATGATTTTATCAGGTTAACTAAAGTGCTAGCGTCTGGGATCGGGTTTAATTGCATTTGACTGACTTCAGTCAATGATTGTCCCAGTCTTCAAGGAAAGCCAGGAATCCTCTTGTGATAACCACAAGTCCTATAATTATTAGACGCCTGAGTGGAGTTCGTGAACAGCGAATCCAAGGAAATTAGGCAGGTTGGAGACCGTGCCGTGGGTGCATCGAGCAGATATTCACCCTCTATCAGTTTCTGAAACAGGCAAAATTACCAATGCCCAACATTGGCTATTTGACCTGAAGGCGGCATTGGAGTTCTGTGATATAGAAGCATTACGGCAATCTCTCTGAGAGGTATCAGGTAAGTACATCACCATGTCCAAGACTCTGTATTCCTCTCAAAGGATGAATAATACCGCGCTGCAGTCCATTCCGTCCTTTTCATACAGCTATGAGACATGGCCTTTTAGAGTAGAAGACACGAGGCGATTACATAGTTTTGATCGCAAATGTCTTGGTAGCATTGCTCGCATTTGGTGGAATCATCGTGCGAAAAATATTGAGGTCAGACGAGGAGTACTAAGCAAGACAAGCAAGTCGATTGGTGGTGAGTTTGTAAACCTTAGTCGACTGAGATGACTTAGAGATGTTACGCATGTCGAGCCGCCGCCTACCTTGACGTACCATGTTGTTTCAAGTTGGATTAGGTTTGAAGAGGCTTTGTGGTGGCGATATCAAGACCTAGCACCAGTTGGTAAAGTCTATTACTGTTAGTCTGAGTCGCATAGGGAAGTGTGGACTAACGGTCTGGGGTCTTCAAGACGAAAAGAATCAGTGGTTGAGGACTCTTTGGGAAATGACTGGAAATCAGTCACAATGGTACAAATGTATTCACTCCTTGACGTCTTCTAAAGCTTGAATATTTGCATCAACCGTTATATTCACACTTTTATATCCGTTTTTTTCTACCCACCTGTTCTGTAAAGTGTGGCAACTTGAACCAATGCACTTGTGTGCGAGGTTTTACGTTGATTTTGTCAGTCAATCAGACTCTCTATTCGAACACCCTTAGGCATCTCAGAAGGCATTGTGAGTTATCAGGTGAATTGTGTACATCAAGTCTCAAGGTTGTCTTCTGTTTCCATTTTCACTTAGTTTTGTCATAGACGTACTTTTAGTGGTCTCCCCTCTCCGACTGCAACGATTGATCTTGTCACTAGACTCCTTAGTATACCCACTTAAGAAATGACAGTCTTGTTGAGTGAGTGTGCTGACAAGATGTAGAGTCTTCCGGACGCATGGAGTGGAGAATGTTTGGGATGCGTTTTTCCTCATGCAGATGCAAATTGTCACTGCACAACTAGTCTAGGTTGGTAACTTGTCTAATAATAAGGAGTGTAGTGGCTGAGGGCGTTGACCATTTTAATTACCTGAGAAGTTGAATCAGCCTTGCTGGGTCGATGTATGATGAAATATCTGCATGGATACAAAAAGCATTGGCCAGTTGATGCCATTTGTAATGTGTTCATTATATCTGATTGCCTATTAAGAATTGAGTGGACTGCTCTACAGTTCATTCTTTTCTGCCACATGACTGGGAAACTTGGCCACTGAAGTTAGAAGAAGTGAGAATGCTTCAGGTGTTCTACCGCCGTTACCTTTGTAGCATAGGCCATGTGTCGTGCTGATACCAAGTCAGTAACATAGAAGGCAGGTGTAGAGTTTTGGGCAGAAGACAAAAGTCAGTTGGTGAGTTTGTGAACCTTCATCGACTCAAGTGGCTGGGGAATATTCTGTGCATGCCGTCACCGACTGCCTCACTGTACAACACTTACTGTCGTAGGTCCAGTTTGGAAAATACCACTAGGTCTCAGTTTGAGGAGGAAAATATCTTATTGTCGCTTGAATTGCAACTCGGAAGTCATACCAGTGTCTTGTTTATGATAGAAATCTTTGATGCTACTGGTAGTCGTGTCGATTGAATCTACTTGTGAAGGATGATTTGATGGGTGAACTGTTAGTCTATGAATCAAAGTTTCGGTTGTTCGTGCATTTACAGTTTTAAATTGAGTTTACTGTTGATACAAAATAGCTTTTAATGCTCAACTATTTTTAAGTTAATTGTCCTTCATCAGTTATGTAGGCTTCATGTAAAACAGATCCAAAATTCTATGCTTTGTTTAGTTTCTTCGGGTCTGATTTTTCTGAAAAGATGCAGATGATACACGGTAGCGTTAACTGTTAATAACTACCTCATTTGATGCCCCCTAGTCTACAAGATTGCATTATGTCAAGGTTGAAATGGACTTGAAATGAAATAGATGACAACCAGTTACCAATAAGTTTGTTACTCTTTGAGTATTATTTTGATTTTTCGTTTCATTCATTCATTGATTGACACAAAAAAATCTGTAAAACTGTCAATCATGATGTTGTATATCTTATATTGTAGGTAATATGGAACAGTCTTTTCGAGAGCTTCGATTAGAGAATGGAAATCGTGAAAGCCAGTATGGATATGTTTATGCTGTATCAGGTCCTGGTAAGAGCCTGTTTATCATTCCTGTGATTGTTTATTGTTAAACTTGTTTTTCTTTTTATTAAGTTCTCGCAAAAGATTCAAATTTCTGTACTATAATAAAAGATATAAGTATTCGTATGATTTCGTCTATTCTTTCTTTCCTCATAGTGGTAATTTATTAGCTCCAGTGAATCTATTTAACCATTAGTTTACATTTCTTAGAAAGTTTGGTAGAAATAATTGATGACTTAGAAGTATAAAAATGATATTTGGTGTGTATAACTCATTAACCTAATGTAGGTTCATATAACACACCAAGCTGAATCTGTTATTTGAAGACTGATAGCACCTGAGACGTTGTAGAAGAACTAACAACGTTTGGATCCGTAATTAAGTTTTATGGAACTATGGTAAATTGGCTTAGGTATTGAAATTTCTATTAGTGAGTCTCAGGTGTGAATCCTGATCAGCTTATGAAAGCATTCTCGTTTTATGCTACTACAACTTAAACCAATGCATCCTTGTATGAGGTTCTTAGTTTTGTCCATTAATCTAATCAGATGTACTTTTATCTTTTTCATCCTTAACCGCTCTATAATAATCTTGCAATGTCCTAACTATTTCTAGGTTTGCTCACTTGTTACTGATGCTAAACTAGTGGGAGGTTTATCTATGTCATAAAGCCACCTATTCGTGGTGAATATATCCAAGCAATCTATCATATGTCACAGTTTTTATTCACATTATTCATGTAGGTCACTGAAATGGTCGCCAAAAGTGACTGTAATACTACCACTTTAGTCAGTGTTAATCGGTACTTAAGCTTGGGGTGAAAATTATCATATCTTAGCTTTTTCAAATAATGTTCTTTGTCAAGATACTAATGACTGGTTATAAAGTGCTTTGGGATGTCTACAGCTTGATAGAGTACGGTCCTATCAGTTAAAAGTAGAAATGTTTATGCCATACTTTGAAGCTTATTAGACCTTTAGTTGTTGTATTTTTTGAAATGATGCTCTTCAGAGTTCTCAGCCTTGGCCTTATGACACGCCTATACTATCTTCATTTGTGACAACACTAAGAACTTGTTCCCACTGTTTACTAAAGTTAATTTATGAGGAATCCGTTTGATTGTTTTAAATATAACGTGACGAACTCGATCGTACCCTGACAGATGTATTCATTCTTTATCATATCTCTTACTATGTGTACAGTAAATTGTGTCCGAAACGTTATCCAGTAAATGATACTGTTTCACTGTGTGAAATCTATAACAAACAGGCTAAAATGTTATATTTTCTTAGTTGAGAAATTTTGTTTTGCAGTTATGTATTAATCTGTTATAAACAAATAAGGTATAAACTGTTTTCATGGATCTTATTACTTCAGTTCTCATCTATGTTAGAGGTTAAAAGGCGAGTATACCGCACCTCAGTCTGTTCTGTCCTGTCATACGGCTGTAAGACATGGCCGTTAAAATGAGAAGGTATAAAGAGACTACAGGTTTTTGACCACAAATGTCTTCGTAACATTGCTGGTGTATAGTGGGATGACCGTGTGAACAATATTGAGGTCAGACGAATAGCACTGGACAAGAAAAGCAAGTCGGTCGATGAGGTCTTGACTTCGAGCGACTAAGGTATCTTGGACATGTGTTGCGCGCTCTGAGTCACCGCCTACCTCGTCATGCAATGCTAGTAGTAGTTGGTTTAGATTAGAATTCTAGGGTAGTCAGACCAAGACGTTCCACCAGTCTATGAAGTCTCTGACTTTTAGTTTAAGCCGTGTAGGAAGGTGTATACTATCTGGTTGAGGTCTATGAGATAATAGGGATGAATGGTGGGAGGCTCTTGGTGACATGGCCGAAAATTGATCATATTGGTGCGTATGTGTTCACTCTTTGACGTCTTCTAAAGTTCGAGCATTTTCACTAACCTTTATCTTCAAAGTGTTTCTCCTAAACATTTTTATCTACTTTGATATCAGTTTGTGAAGTGGGGTAACTTGAACCGATGTACTTGTATACCAGGTTCTGCGTTGTGTGCCTATCTATCTGACTACTCTTTGAATACACCCATTTAAGTTAGACAGTATAAGATAAATAATATCGCTTGTTGATGCTATAGAATGCATTTACCATGTGTTTCTTTTTTCTTGATGCATATTGTCTTGTTTTCACAGTTGTCACTGCATCGTCTATGGCTGGTTCTGCTATGTACGAGTTAGTTCGTGTTGGACATGATGAATTAGTTGGAGAGATTATCCGTTTGGAAGGTGATTTGGCTACTATTCAAGTGTACGAAGAAACATGTATCCTTATCACTATCACAATATGTTTTTATTCTTTTTTTCTTCTTGATGCGAAATTCCGCTGGGACTCTAGGCGCATAAATTATAAATAATTTCCCACATACTTCCTAGCTTAACGATAATATTGGATGGAAGTCATTCTATTCATGAACTGACAGAGGTAAAAAATATGAATCATTGAATTCCGACCCCATGGTTCAATGGTAACGTGCTTGCCACTTAGATAACTGACGGAGTCATGGGTGCACACTGTTGAGGAGTTCCACGTTAATATGAAACAAGCTGTCCAGTGCTCATAGGTTTCCAGTAGTTTTACACCTTGAACTCAATCAACCCCTACAAACATTCAATCTGTGTTTTAATACTCTTTAAATAATCTTATGGAAATACAAGGCATGTTTAAACTAGTAATATGTTTTTCCAATAAACGCCACCTGTGAAAGTACTGAAAAATTGAGAAGCAATTAGGTATTGCTTTTTCAATTATGGAATCTTCGGGTCTGGAAGTGAATTTGTTAGGGTAGATTTCTATTGTCTTTTTTTATCTTCGGTTGGTTAGTGCGTGCTTATTCCCTCATTTCAAAGGTGACTTCAACTCTTTGACATTCTCGACTGCATTTATATCTTATAGTATTCAATATCCCAAACTTCTCATTATATATATATTATTGCAGAAGGTCTGGAAGGAAGGGAAGGTACCTGGCGATTGAAAGGTGGACCACCTTGTCAAACTCCAGAAGAAGGGTGACCTAAGTCTTTACAAGAACTGGTGTAGAATCATGCTCCAGTCCACTACAAGCAAAATACTAAGCCGCATCATCATGGAGAAACTAAAGGATGCGCTGGATTCAAAACTACGACCCGAATAGGCTGGATTCAGGACGTACAAATCATGTGCGGACCGAATTGCAACGCTACGCTACGCATCATCATAGAACAGAGTATAGAATGGCAGTCAACCCTCTACCTCAACTTCATCGACTCTGATAAGGCCTTCGACAGCGTCGACCGAGGAGTAATTTGGCAGTTGCTTCAACGCTACGGAATACCACAAACCTTTATCAATCTCAATCAACAACTATGTGAGGACGTCACACGCCAAGTAATCCACAATGGGAAGCTCAGTGATGCCTTTGAAGTGAAGACGGGAAGGAGTAAAACAAGGTTGTCTACTATCACCCATGATATTCCTGATTGTAGTGGACTGGATCATGCAACAAACAGTGAGGAGCGAGAAGAGAGTGATACGCTAGCTGGACTGGGGAAAAGATCCTAGAAGACTTGGATTTCGCCAACGATGACTTCTGTCTAATGTCACATAAACTTGAATATCTACGGCGAAAACTAACAAGTTGACAGAAGAGGCAGGGCAGCAAAGGCGGGATTCAAGTGAACGTAGAAAAGAGAGGTAGAGGTGATGAAGATACCCAACCAACAACAACAACAAGCACCAATCACCATCAATGGGAGGAACTTAAAGGCAGTAGCCTCTTTCACCTACCTAGGCAAGGCAGCATCGTTTCAACTACAGGCGGTGGTGGCACAGGCAAAGACGAGGATGTCAGAGCCAGTCAGGATCGGAAAGACAGCAAGACAAGCGTTCATTAACCTGAAACCTGTGTGGAGATCTTCTGCACTGCACTCAGCATGAAGCGGGAACATGATCCGGATTTTCAACACCAACGTCAAGTCAGTGCTTCTGTATGGCTTCGAGACTTGGCGGGTTACGAAAGGGATTTCCAGAAAACTACAACATTCATCAACAACTGTCTACAGTGGCTCGTTACTGAAGATCAGATGAGAAGGCGACAAAGAATAAACAACAAGGAACTCTAGCTGGTGACGAATCAACCAAGAAGCTATCACTCAACAGATATGCAGAAAGAAGTGGAGATGGGGATGGATTGGGCATACACTGAGAAGGCCGACCGGGGATGTCACGCGCCAGGTCCTCTAGTGGAACCCAGATGGGAAACGACGAGTTAGGCGTCCGAGGTGAGGGTGACATGGAGGAGATGGTGTGAGGAAGAAATGAGAGGTTGTGGGCTGTTATGGAACCAGGTTGAAAAGATTGCAAAGAAGAGTGTGCACTGGAGACGTGCTACTGAAACCCTATGTTCCCAAGGGACAAATAATAGTATTTATTATATATATATATATATATATATATATATATATATATATATATATATATATATATATATATATATATATATATATATATGAAATACAGGCGTATTGAGTTTAACGGCAACCACTGTATATCTAATTATTCGTTTTATTTGTTGTAATGCTCCATGACGTTCTGGCTGCTTGACGTAGATACTTGATTTTCTATTGAGAATAGGTCTCTACCTCGAACCCTCTTTTGTTTAGGCAACCGAATAGTACTATAAGTTCTCATGAACTAAGGATAGCTCATAGCTTAATACATAATAAATATGTAGTGAATTGTTGAGTTGCATCATGCTGCCTGCTTTAACTACTCCTCACCTTTATAGCTGGTGTAACTGTAGGTGATCCTGTCCTAAGAACTGGCAAACCGTTATCAGTAGAACTTGGACCTGGAATTGTAAACAATATTTTCGATGGTATGTTTTCTACAAATATATATATAATAAATTAGCATTGTTTTATCCTAATATATATAAATAATTTTTAATTAATGAAAGGCTATCGTTATTAATTGACCTTTTAGTTTTCAATGAGTGTCTTATTGAGAGAAGTAATCTGAGAAACATCATGTTTCTAAAATTCCTTTACTTGAACACTTGTCTTGATATCAAAACTTATAGTGAATTATCTTTTGAAGTCTTTTGTAGTAATGTACGTCTTCAGGAATGTTAAGTCTTATCATTTTGCTTCAATTTTGTGATATATGGTCTTGAAGATTTCCTGTAACTTGATTTTGTCGGTCGTTATTCATTAGTAGACTGTGTGTGTGTACGCCGGATCAGGGGAAGATGACAACGTGTCGTGCAAACCGAAAGATCTGTTGCCAGAAGAAGACAGGACAAATAGAATTCACAAAATCAATTACAAAGATTGCTCACAATATTATGTTGGTCAGTCTAGGCGTTGAATTGTTCAACGACTTCATTGACATTAACTAGCAGTGAAGTGACGTAACGCAGCCTCCTTGGTTTCAATATACACAGACAATCAAGATCATAAATTCGATTGGTAGAAAGTAGAAACCTTCCGAAGAGAAGATTCAAAAGTTGCAAGCAATTTTTTAGAAGCACAGTATTCCAATGGAAAGTCAGTCAACAGATATGTAGATATATAGACCGAGTCTACAATCTACTTACAAAAAAAACAGCCATCTATCAACCAAGTACAAACTGACCAAATAAATGAGTAGTGATGCACAGTGTGATAGCGACAAAATAGCAAAATTTCACTCCGATAAAGATTATCTACTAGTGTAACTAGAGGAAATTTGAGGTAAGAAGTGTCAAGGTGTAGTGAAAATCTTTTCCCCAGCTTACAATTGAAAACACAGATATCGGAAGTTAGAGGGCACCAAACCACGACCAAGGTGACTATCAGAATTTTCTTAATGCTTGTGTCACATATTTTTGGTGAGAATATCTGAAATAGCCTTCATTATGCAGACTGATCCTAATAAAATTGAGGTAGTAGTTAAAGTTGATAGAGTGCTGAACCGGTGACCTGGAGGTATTATTCCAAGTTCTTCAATGATTCAGATTTTCACCTTAACTGTCATGTAACTACATTATATGAATTGACAGAAGTCACCATTGGTATCCATGATATACATTTCGTCGTGTTTTGGATTCATCAGAAGAATGCGTCCATCTCTTGGTGAGTGATGTATTTCCCATCGGAACTTTAAACCTTGCACCAATTGCATCCAGTTGATGGGTCCCAAATGGGATGAAACATGCATCCTGGACTGAACTTCTCGTCACCATCTATCGTTTCTGTCAAACCTGAATTCCTAGGAATATCGAGGCATCTGTATAATAGCCAGTCGATTCACAGCGGATCAACCGATAAACGAAATCTATCACAATATGTTTGTTCAACCACCATTTACCATTTGTAGTGTAGTTTTCCCAGCATCAATAAGATAGTAATTATAATTTTGTTGTTCGCCTAACAAGTATGCAGAAGAAAGTGGAGATGGATCGGGAATACACTGAGAAGACCGATTGGGGACTTCACGCGTCAGGCCAGGCCCTTGAATGGAACTCAGATGGGAAACGACGAGTTGGGCATCCAAGGGTATGAGGAAGAAATGAAAGCTTATTGACAGTCGTGGGGCCAATAAAAAAGACTACAGTAAACAGAGTGAAATGGTGACGTGCTACTAAAGCCCTCTGTTCCACTAGAAACCCAAAGGACAAATAATAAAATAGTAATATAATTTTGTTCTTTGATTTCCTCTCCCCTTAAGTAATAATCAACTTCTCAACTTCATATTCCTTTAGGTATTCAACGTCCACTAAAAGGCATTTGTGATTTAACTAGTTCAATTTATATTCCAAGAGGTGTAAATGTTCCTGCTTTAGATAGAAAAGTGGAATGGGAATTTCTACCAACACCAGGCTTAAAACCAGGGATGCATATAACTGGTGGAGATATTTTTGGTGTTGTCCCTGAAAATACATTGGTTCAGCATCGTATAATGCTTTCACCGAAATCACAAGGTACAATTAAATGGATAGCTCCAACTGGACATTACACATTATCTGTAAGCTTTAATACTTCGTTGTATAAAATGTAATTTTAAATAAATAAAAGCAGTGAAACATATTTTCATTTAACTCATTCATTTCAAGATATCCTGACTAACAATGGAATAGATGTAATGATGGATTGTGGCTAGCAGTGGAATCCAGGATGCACATTTCGTCCTGTTTGAATTTGTCAGCTGGATCTGCTTGCCTCCCAGTGAGTAATGTTGTACCCATCGGATTCAGACTCGGGACCGATGGCTTCAAACGCCAGAGAGTTATCCACTAGACCACCGAGCCACAATAACCACTTCTTGTGCAAAGGGTATAGTTTTAGCATAATTGCTTGCATTATACCGTTGTTAACTGGGCCGAATTGATCGATCTCTGTTAGCATATGGGCTCCTTTGCGGATGCCTCGATATTATAAATGGAACCAAATCTACTCGCTTTGTATGAGAATAAAAAAAAGTTGCACAGATGACTCACCTTCGAAAAGTACTTCTTGAGAATGGCTACCATCACCCTCCACCCCCTCCTCCCATAAATTCATTGCGAAAAGAATGAAGGCAAAACAGTGACAAGAACGAGTTCTTATTCATGAATATCAAATTCAGTGGAGATAATACAAGAGAACTACTAAGGAATTGTCTTTTTAGAGAAATCAGAAAAGTATTCTATGCTACCGAACAGCAAACAACTTTTTCCAGTGGACAGTTGATTGCAAAGGAGGGTATGAACAACAAAGTACCACTTTGAATCACATCCATATGTGTGTCTATCAATTTAAACCTGTTCTTGTGAATATGGTTGAATTGGCGGCACGAAGTGCAATCTTTTCAAGCGCATCTCTGAACACTTCTCTGCTTGCTGGTACTCACAAGGACTCATATTACTTCATTACAGTCTTTTTTCAAAATTCTGTACAAAGGTGAACTGAACAACTGAATATACGTGCAGATTCGTGACAGCTCAGTTGTTTTTTTCTTCAATTTTATTGGTAGCAAGAGTAAACAGTTTCTGGATATTCATAAAAACTAGGTGAAATAAAGTTCTTATGTTTCATTAGTTGATATTCTCTAACTTCAATTGTAGTGATGGAGATTCAAACATCTCTTTATTTACCTATAATTTTTTCAACCAGGTTCATATTTTGGTCAGGCTTTGGCTAGCAGAAGAACCCAGGACGCGCATTTCGCTCTATTTGGGACTTATCAACTGGATACACCTGCACCCCAGTTTGTGATGTTCACACTGAGACTCAAACCTCATACCCATCGCTTCAAACGCCTAGGCCACTAAGGCACGATAGCCATTTCTTGTACAACGAGTATTAGTTATTACTATTTATTGATATACTTACAATTCTCGTGCCTCTGTGGCATGGTGGATAACGCTTTGGGGTTCGAGGTTAGAGTCTCAGTGGGAACAACATTACTCACTGGGGTGCAGGCACATCCAGCTGAAGAGTCCTAAATGGGGCGAAATGCGCATCCTGAATTCCTTTACTAGTCACAACCAACCAAATTACCATAATTAACATTCAGGCAATATCGAGGCATCTGCATAGGATCCCGTATACCAATAGAGGCCGAACAATTTGATCCAATAAAACAACGGAGAATTACGAGTATATCAATAAACAGGTCCTTCGTATTTTGTCTAATTTGCTCGTAGTTTACTAGGTTATAAACATCTTGTTAATTGCTTCCAATGACTCATAATCTTTTGTCTACTTCAAGCATTGTTCTTTGTTGTTTGTATTAGGATAAAATACTAGAAATAGAATTCGATGGTCAGACTAGTCATCATACAATGCTTCAAATATGGCCAGTTCGTCAACCTCGTCCAGTAGTTGAAAAGTTACCTGGTAATCATCCTCTACTAACTGGACAACGAATTTTGGATGCTTTATTCCCGTAAGTAAATATGTATTCTTAGCATTTTATGCACGTCTTTCTGATGTAGTTGTGACTTAACACAATGGTGTTACTGATACTCAGCGATAATTGGTTAAATGGAAAATAATCAGCTGGATCACATATATATCACCTGTGGATTTAATAGTAGGAGTTATCCAATTCTAATAATGTATGTTCGATAGACTTTAGCTAGTACTTAGAGACAGATACTTGAATCAATTTCCGTCTGGTGACCGATTTACATATATATGAGCCAAGTATGTAGGATGTCGATTTTGCTAGCTGCGAGGCTAGATGACAAGCACGCTAACTTCAGTGCTAATTGACAGAGTTCAGACCATCGATTTTGAAAAGGCCTTCGATAGCGTCGACCGACACAGTAATTTGGAAGCTGCCTCAACACTACGGTTTAAGTGCCACAAACCTTTATAAACCTCATTCAACAGCTATATGGAAACGCTACATGCTAAGTGATTCACAATGGAAAGCTCAGCTCAGTTGACGCCTTCGAAGTGAAGACAGGAGTAAGACAAGGCTGCCTACTATCACACATGATCTTTCTGATTGTGGTGAACTGGATCATGCAGCAAACCATGAGGAGCTGTGAGAAGATGGGCATACGATGTTTTACCGATGAAAAGACCCTAAGTGATTTGGATTTCGCCTATTATGATGACTTATGTCTCATGTCTTGTAGCACAAACTCGTAAATCTGCAAGCAAAAACCAACAAGTCGACAGAAAAGGCAGAGAAGACGGGACTTCCTCCAGGTGAACGTAGAGAAAAGAGAGGTAGAGGTGATGAAGATCCCCAACCAACGACAACAAGCAATCACCATCAATGGAAGAAACCTTAAGCAAGTAGTCTCTTTCACCTACCCACCTACCTAGGTAGCATCGTTTCAACTACAGCCGGCGGCACAGATGAGAACGTCAATGCCAGGATTGGAAACATAGCAAGACAAACCTTCATTAATCTGAAACCTGTGTGGAGATCTACTGCACTGCACTGCACTCAACATAAAGCGTGAACGAGATCCGGATTTTCAGCACTAAGTCAGTCAAGTCAGTGCTTCTATACAGTTCAGAAACTTGGTGCTTCACGAAAACCATTTCCAATAAACTACAGACATACATCATCAACAGTTGCCGTCTACGCTCGCTCGATACTGAAGATCGATCAGATGACCAAAATAATAAGAATAAGCAACAAGGAACTCTGATCTGGCAACGAACCAACCAAGAACCCATCGCCCAACAAATACGCAGAAGGAAGTGGAGATGGATTGGGCATACACTGTGAAGACAATTTGGGGACATCACACGCCAGGCCAGACCCTCGAGTGGAACCCGAATTGGAAACAACGAGTTGGACAAGGGTGACATGGAGGAGATGGTATGAGAAAGAAATGAAAGCTTGTGGGCAGTCGTGGAGTCAGGTTAGAAGAAAAGACTGAAGAGAGTGAAATGTCGATATGCTACTGAAGCCCTATGTTTCACTGGGAACCCAAGGAACAAATAATAATAATTACATCTTTTAGAAAGCATCAGCTTCATAAGATTGGCAAGTTTTAGCGATCATGAAACCTAATTTAGACAGGTTTTCCTGCCAATACACTTTAGCTATCCACTACCGACCATAGTACACTGTTCAGTCATTAAAGTTATATAGGCTACATTTGTCTGTACATGTTGTGTATTTTTTGTGTACATATATGGAAAAAAGACAATAAGATACTGTGACTCAGTGTATTCTGCAAAATTGTTGTTCTTGCCTTGCTAGAATTCACCAAGGAGACCAACTGTTTGTTATCTATTAGAGTTGATGGTATTTTACCCTGCTAAAACTGAAGCTGATTAAAATCAGATTTGTGCATCTGACCCAATGGTTAAGTAACACAATAGTGTAGATCAAATTATAAGCTGGCTACTAAGGCTTAATAGCGTAGGTGCATAACATTTTGTTGGTCTGGTCCCAGTAAGAAGAATACCAACGTGAGTACAGCCATATTGGGCTGATGAGTTCCAAAGTAGACGAAACAAACTTACTGGATATATATATATATATATATATATATATATATATATATTATTACTATTAGTCCGTTGGGTTCCTAATGGAACATAGGGCTTCAGTAACACGTCTCCAGTGACCTCTGTTCTCTGAGATCTTTTGAACCTGGTTCCACGACAGCCCAGAAGCTCTCATTTCTTCCTCGCACGACCTCCTCCATGTCACCCTCGGACGTCCAACTCGTCGCTTCCCATGGGGATTCCACTCGAGTGCCTTGCCTGACGCGTGATGTCCCCAGTCAGCCTTCTCAGTGTATGCCCAATCCATCTCCACTTCTGCATATTTGTTGAGTGATAGGTTCTTGGTTGGTTCTTTCCCAGAGCTCCTTGTTGCTTATTCTTTCTGACAATCCATCTGATCTTCAGTAACGAGCTAGTGTAAACAGTTGTTGATGAATGTCTGTAGTTTATTGGGAATGCCTTTCGTGACGGGCCAAGTCTCGGAGCCATACAGAAGCACTGACTTGACGTTGGTGTTGAAAATCCGGATCATGTTCCCGCTTTATGCTGAGTGCAGTGCAGAAGATCTCCACACTGGTTTCAGGTTAATGAACGCCTGTCATGCTGTCTTTCTGATCCTGACTGGCTTTGACATCCTCGTCTTTGCCTGTGCCACCACCGCCTGTAGTTGAAACGATGCTGCCTTGCGTAGGTAGGTGAAAGAGGCTACTTCCTTTGAGTTTCTCCCATTGATGGTGATTGGTGCTTGTTGTTGTTGTTGGTTGGGTATCTTCATCACCTCTACCTCTCTTTTCTCTATGTTCACTTGAAATCCCGTCTTTGCTGCCCTGCCTCTTTTGTCAACTTGTTGGATTTTGCCTGTCGATATTCAAGTTTATGTGACATTAGACAGAAGTCATCGTTGGCGAAATCCAAATCTTCTAGGATCTTTTTCCCGGTCCAGCTTATCCCCCTCAAGTTAAAGAGATAGCCTACATTATATATAAGGTCTGAACTTCACTTTCAGCAACATCCCCAGGGCTATGACTCATTAGATTCAGTAAACGCTCAACTATTAATCATCAGTAGGTCGCAGATTTCAATTTATTAGACCTGCTTATGTTTGTCCAGTTAAATAGTATTATCAGCCGTCATACTAAATAGGCACAGTTTAGTGGTTAGTGTAGAGGATTGTACGTGATTGTTGGGTTGATTTTCTTTGCGCTGAAGCGATTTCGCTTTAGAGAACCGAACTCTTGTTAGTCATTCCATTGCTGTTCGAAAGTGTTACAAAATGACTAATGATTTCTAAGTTAATTAATTTCCTCTATTTAATAATTCTTTTCACCCTTTATCCGGAATACTACCTATTTTTCAGATGTGTTCAAGGTGGTACTACTGCGATTCCAGGAGCATTTGGTTGTGGTAAAACTGTTATTTCACAGTCACTATCAAAGTATTCTAATTCTGATATTATCATATATGTTGGTTGTGGTGAACGTGGTAATGAAATGTCTGAAGTGTTACGTGATTTCCCAGAGGTGAGAATTTTTTAGCCAGACATAATTATACCAATTATATATATATATATATATATATATATATATATATATATATATTACATGCTTCATTGTATCACTGATGCCTACCATTTCCATTCCAAAAGCACAGACAGACAGACAATAGCAACATAAAGCCAGGCATTAGTGTATAGACGTCAAAGTTGCTACACCTCATATCAACATATCAAGCAAGAATCCACCAAGATGAATCATAAAGAAATGAAGAAGAAATCTTGGTGGATATTGCTCTAGCGTTTGAAGCGACGGATATGAGGTTTAAGTCTCAGTGGAAAACATCACCCACTGGGGTGCAGCTGACGAGTCCCAAATAGGACGAAACGCTCGTTTTGAATTCCTCCGCTAGTCACCAAGATCAAAGAAGAAATCAGTTTAAAGTGGTCTTGTGCAATGTCATCTAGAGTCTCCAACCACTGATTTCTACTGTCACTAGGAACCCAACCATTTACATGGCTCAAATCAATAGTCTGCTTGTAACTCTTTTCTGTCCTGAACCTACTCCATACGGTGACTAATCATGGGATCTCAATTTACTCACTAGTAGTCTATATCTCATTATAAGTGTAAAACCAGGGTTTGGTGCAATGAATGATATTGCTGCAAAATATTTCACAAGTGTTCAATTTTCGGCTAAATGTAATGATAGTCGTTTCTTAAGGTCATGGTGGTCCTGAAGTACATACAATCCACTGACTAGTAAGGTAATCACTATGTATTCATTTCTTACCCAACTTTTTCTGATCTCTTTCTTCATGTACTATATTGAACCGTTGCGCTGTATTACCAGGTCGTATGTTGATTTTAACCTGCTTATTGTATTCCATTCCAATTACTCATGCATTATATCTAGATGCATTTATAATTGTAATCAAGAAGATGGGGATTCTATCGGAATATGTGGTAATTTTTTCACCACCACTGAGCGAAATCAATACTTATTGATGGTTTTTCGATTGTCTTAACAATGAACACTATTTTACAACTACTGAACTCATAGACCGTGCATCTACTTGATATCAGGAACTGTTAACATTCTACTCAAGTCGTTGTTTGTTGTAGAACAGCCAACTTGTGTTTAGTATCAAAACCTCTCGGGGATTTTCCGAGTAGTACTGTTAGATGTTCATCGTGTCATCGTATACCTCAGTAATATAAAGATTATCTTTCAGAGTAACTGGAATAACGGCTTTCAAGAAAAACAATAATTCTGTCTGCAACCAGTTTTGGTGTTCTTAGTCGCCATTCAAAACCAGGAAGGTTATTCTTTGGTTACCTACTCGGGAAACTGTACAAACTAGGTGCTTCCTTTTTAGATTTCACTGCCTATGATTCGATATTCTTAACTTTCTTGCGTATTGTTTTAGGATCAATAAGCAGTCTATCGGATTTCTCCGAAGGACTGTTTGTCGTTGATGTAAGGTTTTTCGCCGATTGACTACCAACACCGAAACATAATACTGTGCATAATGTTATTTTCCATCTGTTTCAGTGGTTACCGCACATACATCATCGTTACGCTCCAGTGTATGAAGATTTCGAACATTGGCTTAACAACTTCTAAACAATTGATCTGGGTTCAAATGACCCTTCTTCTACTTTATCTGAGCATCCGGATAGTATCATAAGCCGTAATCACTGTCACACAGGAAGCGTTTATGCATATTTAAACCTCGATCGGCACTTGTTAATTGAGAAATTCATCAGGAAGTTGGTTTATTTAATATCCACAATGTTCCAATGTAATTATACTACTTGTTTCTGGTGAGCAGTGTAACTGATTCGTAATGCAGTAGAGCTGTGACCACTCATAGATTTGAACCCTGCTTCACACCTACCTAAGTTCAGATAACCAGGCAGTATCAATAGTCCGCACACAATAGGTGTGTCTCATTGCATGGTGCAAGATCAAGAGTTGTTTGTTGACGTAGATTATTATATAGTCGTTATTAACTTGTATTGTTGTTACTTGTGTCACCCCGTCATTAAATTGACCGAATTGATCGATCTCTATTGACACATGGGCTCCTACGCGGATGCCTCGATATTACCTGTGTTTCGATTATATATTAATGATAGATAGCGGTTAGCAGTGGAGTCCAGGACGCGCGTTTCGTCCCATCTGAGACTCGTTAGTTAGATGAACCTGCCAGCCATATACCAATAAAGACCAATCACTGCGGTCCACTCAACGACAGAATAATGCAAGTAACATTAAAACTACCCGTCGCATAGGAAGTGGCTATCGTGACTCGGTGGTCTAATGAATAACGCTCTGGTGTTTAAAGCTATCGGTCCCGAATTCGCTCACTAGGAGGCAGGTACACCCAGCTGACGAGTCTAGAATGGAACGAAACACTCATCCTAGATTCCACTGCTAGCCACTATTCATCATTACTTGTTAACTTGTCATAATTCTCACTAGTTATCAATACAAAGGAAACCATTTCCCTTGAACATTGTATGAACGGACACAACAATGAAACGTAACGTCCTCAGCCACCTTGTGCAATAGGCAGTTAGCCACACCTATTGTGTAAGGGTAGGTGATACTACCTGGCTATCCAAACCTCGGTAGATGGAGCGGGGTTCGAACCCATGGCCCAGTGGTTGGTAATCATCTCCCTAAACAACCATCAAGCCACAGCTCCTCATAAACAAACACTGATAGAGATCTCAGCAAAATTCTTCCCGTGGTATGACCACTATTTATGATATTCAGTATATGTTATAATCACAAGCATGAATTAACTCTTTCTTTTTTGTACTGTATCACTATAACATTTTGCACTATTGATTTTTTTTTCAACAAGTTGATAATACCCTCTTCATTTTGTTATTATAATCAACTGTAACAATTATGATTTTTTCGGGTTTATGGTTGGTATTGTCCTTATCATTGGAGTTAAGTTAAAATGACGTCAAAAACCCTAAGTAATAGTTAGTCAATTGACTTTTCGAAATGATTTGCCAAGGAAAGGCAAATAAAGAGATAAACAGTATAAAACTGGAAAGAAGTCGTCAAAGTTGTGAGCGTTTGCATAATGTTAACTAGTTATATATATATATATATATATATATATATATATATATATATATATATATATATATATATATATATATATATATATATATATATATAACGTAGTAGCTTATCATTTTACAGGATCTGAATCTTACCTCAGCTAAGGAGGTTGACAACCTAGTGCCATAGATCGGTACATGATTGCTCAGTTACACTACAATTATGACTAGACATCAAAATATACATGGCATAGTAATCTTAATCATTATACTGTGAATTTAAGCATTCTCTCATTCATCTCAATTCTCTTTTGATGACTATCTACCAATTTTTTGCAGACTTTTTCCTTTATTTTCTGAATTTTTCATCTTGGTGGGTTCTTGTTTGATGTGTTGTTGATAAGTAAGGTGTACCAAAATCGACGCCGACGCAGTAATGCCAAGCTCTATGTTGATACTATCTGTTTGTAATCTGAAAACTCATGAACTTGCACATGCAAATGGTAACTGTGGAGAACAGAAAGAGGAAATGATGAATTGTGGAGTATAGCTGACTATTCGGATGAAATCTGTCTTGTAAAGCAATTTAAATCAACTAATTTTCAATGCTTGTCGTCTAATTCCCTATCATCTTAAATATTTGCGTCTTATTCTTCCACCATCCTTCCCACTGTTTGTGCTTTTCAAGTTTCAATAATTTTCTTGAAGAAATGAAGCTGGCGATCGTCTTGTCAACGAATAGGGCAGACTATGGCTCATTATCTAAGACACCTAACATCTAGTTAATGAATCACAGATTCATTCATTTTCTACCTGATTTGCTGCTATTTTGGGTAACCAGGTAGTATAATAAACCCTCACAAAACAAATATAGCTTATAACCACCTGGTTATCAAACATGTATCTAGTTAGTGAATTGTATTACTAGCATGTATTTATCTTTTATCAGAGATTTTGACTACGCTTAAATGTTTAGTGTTACGATGTTGCCATATTGGAGGTGTTATGCTATCTACTGCTTCGTCTTTCTCACCAATACCGACATATATCAAATCAATGTAGAATCTTACACAGAAGTGAACCGGTTCAATTTTCCACATATCTCAACAACATACAATGAGCAACGCGAGTAGGCAGAGTGTTATTTAAGTATATAGTAGACAAAAGTGTTTGATAGGGGAAACAATTTGAAAACAAAGTTTAGTGAAAATATTCAAGCTCTAAATCATGTCAACATCGATTCTTATTGTATGAAAGAAGAACAAGTAAGTATTTCAGCGAAGAGTCTCTTTTCGGTGATTTCATTTTCAATAGGAAATTTATACAGTTTTTTTCTAGTGTAAGGATTTGATAGTTAAAAACAGTTTCTCAAGCATGGCGGACAACACAAATAGTGACAATAAACGAGTTGTCATCAAAATACCAAAATTGATGAATAGTCAATATTTTTATCAAAATCAATTTGTACAAGAAGTTTTGTAACATAACGATATAATTGGAAACTGAATTGTGATCAGACGCGCAGCATAGTAACAAGAATGAGTAGCAAATTACTTAAGAGGTGAATAATATCAAAACAAAAAGATGAAAAGAAAAGATGGAAGGAGGTTTCATAGACTAAAAATTATGGCCATGAAAGGAGAAGGGATGGCAAAGGCTTCGGCGATACAGAGAATACGAAGACATATAGCCTTTGGAAGCTTTCTTTTCACTTTGTAGATGACTTTGAATGAGGAGGTTCTTGAGATAGGGTGATTCGTATTCACGATGTGTTTAGGTATAGCACTCCTTTTTATCGCTCCATTGTTACGATTTATATACCTAGCTCCAAAACAGCAGGTAAATTGATATATGCACATAGAGGTGGTCAGATATGAAAGTTTCTCCTTTGAGTTGTTAGAAATTGTTGGGCGATAAGAGAATACTAGTCTCAGCGTTGATGTAAAGAATGTTCTCCTTTTTAGAGTGTCGGTGGTAGAATCATCTTTGAAGTTTAGATTCATATAGAGTGTCTTTTTCTGGTACGGTGGTAAGGTTCTCTTTGCTAAATTTAGGCTTGATATTTTTGTCTATGAAGCGTGGTGAGAATCTGTTTTCAATCAGGATGTTCTTTAGAACAGAAATTTCCTCTTTTGACATATCGGGACTGCAGATATGATCAAGAGATATGATCAGATTTCGCTTATGACTCATAGGGACCCAGCTATTAAAGTTCGTTAGTTGACCATTGCACATTGGTTTTCTTTGAATTGATCCACCTAGTGTCTCATCAGCTGTGCATTAAGACGGTGAATCGTCGATCCATTTTCGACCTCAAGGGTGAATCTAATTACTGGATGGCAATTATTAAATATTTGTAGGACATGATTCAAATCCTATTGATGAGGACAAATAATAAAAGTGTCGTCCATGTACCTTTTGTTGATCTCAAGGGTCTGTTCTCCAAACTGTCCACAAAGCTATCTACTAGTAGTGGACCTATTGGGGATTCCATGGCGATTCTATCTTTCTGTCTATAATTCACGTCGTTAAGTGTACATCTAAGTAACAATTCCTTAAGGCGAGGGGTCGGTATCCCAACATTCATGCTGTTATCTTCTATGTATCTGCATAAGAATGAGATAGTTTCAGCAAGTGGAACATTTGTGAAAAGTCACTCGGCATCAAGTGATATCACACATTTATTAGTTACGTCTTCGTCTACTATGCAATCAACAAATTTAAAAGTATCACACAGCGAGTGAATGGCTATTCGTCTTCTTACAGGCTCTAGGATTTTGGCTAGCCATTTTGCGATTAGGTAGTGAGGAGATTCAGACATGTCTAGAATCGGACGAAAGGGTAAACCAGCTTTGTGAATTTTTCGTCTTCTTACAGGCTCTAGGATTTTGGCTAGCCATTTTGCGATTAGGTAGTGAGGAGATTCAGACATGTCTAGAATCGGACGAAAGGGTAAACCAGCTTTGTGAATTTTTGATAATCCATAAGGCGTGGGATTGTGGAGCCTGTCGGTTTTGATGCATTTGTAGAGATCATTAATTGTTAGCTGATCACTTTTTAGTCTTTTCCTATCATCTCTAGGATCTAAGCCAGGTACTCTGTATCTTCCTACACAACTGAGACCAACATTCTAAGGCTTCATATACTGGTGACAAAACTTTGTCTGATCACACTGAGCCCGCTTCCAAGTTAATCCAACTTCTCCTAGCATTGAACGTCGATGTAAGCGTTGGTTCAGGATGTGCAACACATGTCCAAGTCATTTCAGTCGGTGAAGGTTGACAACCTCATCTAACCTCTTTGTTTCCTTTCTTAGTACTTTTCATCCATAATAACGAAATTCGATATAACGACTAAAATGAAGCTTATGCATGGATTCATCTGCGCCAATATGTTATGAACTGTGTGACATATCTCACAGAGTCTCCAGCCACTGATTTTGATTGCCATGCAGACCGTAACCAAGAAATGTCCATTTTCTGACTGATGTAACTTCATGCACTACTGATGTCATGTTTTAGTCGGACCACCTTTTTCCATACTAAACCTATCTTTACTAACATCGCTCGACGGTCTTACTGTAAAAGAAATATTAGTATCATTTATAAATAGGTGACTCTGTTTCTGTGTATGTGTATACGTTCGAATAGATTAAATGGTACCTTCCCTCTAATGTTTATCAGGTTTGCAAACGTGACACCGATCATACTGTCTTGTAGCGATGTGAATCGTTAGTCTTTTCTTCTAGGTTTTACGTTTATTTGCTATTTGGTTTTGTCTTTCATTAACTTTGTTCTACTTACCCCTTCATATTGTTATTAGTTAACAGTAGAAGTGAATGGCAAACAAGAGTCAATTATGCAGCGTACAGCACTTGTTGCTAATACATCTAATATGCCTGTAGCTGCACGTGAAGCTTCTATCTATACTGGGATTACATTATCTGAATATTTTCGTGATATGGGTTATAATGTAAGCATGATGGCTGATTCAACAAGTCGTTGGGCTGAGGCATTACGTGAAATATCTGGTCGTTTGGCTGAAATGCCAGCTGATTCTGGTTATCCAGCGTATTTAGGAGCAAGACTTGCAAGGTTAGTAAAAACTTATCTATAATATATATTTTGATATATCTATTTAAGAACAAGATATTCAGCGAAGAGACTCTTTTCAACGAATTTATTTTCAAGCTGTACAATCGTATATATATATGGTATTTGGAAAAAAATTATATCCTGTGAGGAAAACTAAACACTATTTGGTGATGACAATAATAATAGAGCGGGTGATGACATAGGCATTTATGATTATAATAACAATTGAAGTGCGAATGATAACAAATAGATTATGTAATATATGGAATGGTACATAGAGAGTATATAACCCAGAAGGGGGTGAAGAAAATTGTTGAAAATAGTAAATCAATTAAGTATTATGTAATGGCATTAGACAAATTGGACAAGATGAAGTCAATGTTTTCTAAAAGGATTAAGACAATTAAGTGAAACAACACCGGAAACTAGTTAAAGTAAAGGCGATTATAATAACAATAATAGTGATAAAGGAAGGATACAAAGGTTAAATTAACAAAGTGGGAGGGGGAGCTAATGGGGTGGGAAAATGTTATGGCCATGATAAAGACAGTGATCACTGCACATACTTCTTTTGTACACACACATCAGGTCTTAGTTCATGAATAGCTAAAGCCTCCGGTGTTTTAAGGAGTTGAAAACGAAGAGAACGTGGGAGTCATCGTCTGGATTTGTTGTGTGATGGAAGTCAATCAAATGTTCTAGAATCGAACTTCTAACAGACTTTCTTTCACGTTTATAAAACCAAGCAGGAACATGTTCTCGTATACGTGTAGAAAGCATTCTCTGGCTACGGCCGATGAATATCTTGTTCTTGATGTTACAATGGGAATTATTAAATTATATCTATTTAAACTGTTGCTGTGTAAAAAAAACTGTTTCTTTTTCAGTGTAAATTGATGATTCATTCCCAGCATACACTTGTGCTTAGTTTGAAATTAGTGGGCATGTAGATAAGTCAACTACTTCGTTTGCTTGGATCTGGTAAATATATATCCGAACATCGGACTTGACATTCCTGCCTGAAGAGTCCAAATTACCATACAAAAAGTCAAAATAAAAAAAATATATGACAATGAGACGAAATACAATAGAAATAATTTCATCGAGTCATAAGCAGAGACGAAAAAGGTGTGAAGTGAATAAATAAAAATATGATGTGATAATTAAGATGAAGATAATGTGTTAATACATCTGCAATATATTCTCAACTATATGACGTTAAGTCTTAAATCATCCATTTACATTTGGTTAGCATCTATAGGATATTTGATTACTCCTGGGATCGTGGGAGGGGGAGGCTCATTAGTGACCCATCTTTTACAGTGCAACTATAATGTACAATCATTGTAAGTAGACTATGTGAAGTAAAAGATACGCTTATTTGATTATTAATGCCATGGCTGATTATTGTAAGCACTTACCTCTTAATCGATGGTTTATGGGTTGAAATTCAACAACAATCGAAGTCTGAGCAACTAGAAAGTAAATGGATTGATGTATTCATACAGTCTTTCTTCAACTGAATATATGTTCTACACCTAAGGTTACCATCTGTTTTTTCAAGTTTGATGTTGATCAGAGTAGGTGAAGTATGGAAGAAAATATGAAAATGTATATTAATACATGAAAATTCATGTTTATGAACAGATAGTTTCTTAGGTTATCTCCTATAATATAAATTTTTAAAAGACTTTTATTAATCAAGCCTAGTAGACTATGAACGTAACTCGCAGCGAATCGATTCTGTCCCTAATCAGAACGTTAGCCACCACTACAACAATACCACCGACGCGCGAGAAGATAAAAGGAGAAGAAAGACCGTTGACAGAGAGCTTCTTATTCTTTCAACAATAGTCAACACAGCTGACAAAGATGCTGAATATATACATTTCTGAATGACCTTGACAACACTAAATTAACATATAGTTAACAACCAATTAGAGTTCAGCCTTGGGATCAGGAGGGAGAAGAACTAATAACTGTGTGAAGAAAGTCACGTAGGTTATTTTAAGGTTATGGGCGAAACAGCAGGCAAAGCTATGCAAAACTAAGGGTATATAGGAGAATATATATTGAATATTATGTTTTATTATAAAATTAAAGTATATATCATCATATTTAGCTTTTATGAACGTGCTGGTCGCGTACATTGTCTTGGTGGTCCAGAACTACGTTATGGATCGGTTGGTATTGTTGGTGCTGTATCTCCGCCTGGTGGTGATTTTGCAGATCCTGTTACATCAGCTACACTGAGTATTGTACAGGTTTGTGCTAATTTTGCTTCTATTCATCAGTATTAATAGTAATAATTGATACTCTGGTATGTTAGCACTGTCACCTAATTGATGATGAATATTTCACTAAATTCAAAATGTCTGTTGTCTTCCTTACCGGATAAATTTAGATTTTCGATGTTAATTTGATCAGCTGGAAGCGATTGGCTTAGATTTCATAATAGTTGGCACTCGTCAGGAAGACTTATCTGCGACCATGAGGACACTGGCGTTCATTTGTTTCTTTCAATTTTGTATCATTCAGTGCTGAGATCAGAGAACGCGTGACAGCTATGAAACTTGGCTGTTAAAAATCGAAAACATGAAGCGATTACAGTGTCTTCGTAGCAATCCTCGTGTTTCATGAAATCACCGTGTGACCAGTGTTGAGGTTAAACGGAATGTACCAGGCAAAATAAGCAAGTTGATTGATGAGTTTGTAAACCTGTGATGGCTTGGACATGTACTGCATATGCCCAGCCGCCGTCTTCCTCGGCGGGCCATCCCATGGGAATTTGGATTAAGTTGGAAGAGGGTTTAGGGTTGGCAGATCAAGACGTGACACCTGTCGATGAAGTCTCTTACTGTTGATCTAGGTCGTACAGAGAGATCTAGACTACTTGCTTGGAATCTTCGAGATGAAAGGAATCAGTGGTTAAGAGCTTTTTTTCACATGGCCGAAAATCGACAAAAATGGCGCAGCTGTATTCTTTCTAAAGTCGGTATTCATCATGAACTGACTTCATTTAGAGAAACATTGGGAATCTGGGAGCACTGGACAGCTGTTTCTTCCTAGTATAGGACTGCTCAGCAGTGCGCGTCCATGACCCCACACCACCTGGGATCGAACCCAGAAGTTTCGTAGCCAACACGTTACCATTAAGCTAGTCACTGAGTCGTAATCCAGTCGTCCATTTTTCCAACCTTTGTCAGTTCACAACATAGCGCAACCCATCACCCGATGTCATCGTTGAGTATTTCTCCTCACGGTCACCAGGTTAGCCCCACCGGTCACAACTTCTCATTGAAACTTCAGAAATCACTTATCGAAGCTAGTCACGAATGAGCACTAGATCAATTGATATTTTCTAAAGCCTAAATATTCACAGCAACCTTAATGTTTAAGTCGCTTGTGTTTTCATAAAACTTTGTCTGCTCCGATATCACACTTTTTCTATCCATCTCTTCTTTGTGTACCACTGTGAAATATGGCAACTTCAGCCGATGCACCTGTGTACGAGGTTCTACGTTGATTGTTTCTGTGTGTCTGTTTGTATCACCAACTCACTGTCAACATGTAACTAAGGCAGAATGCACTATGCTACCGTTTTATTTAACTTACTGATCATATTGAAAATTTGATCAGTAGAACTCTGTCTTTTGTTCTAATTTAGGATATTTCAGTTTATTTATAAATCAAATTCAAAATTGGTAACATATTTCTATTGAATTTTGAGGGAGTTGTGGGGATTTGGAAATATTTCAAGTTCTTATTCATCGTAGACTGACATCAGTTGAAGGAACAAAGGAAACCTGGAAGCAGTGGACAGCTATTTCGTCCTAGTATGGAACTCGTCAGCAGTGCGCACCCATGACCGTGCCAGGGATCGAACCGGCGACCCTCAGGTTCCGTGTCCAGCAAGTTACTAGTTTTCCTTTGTTCCTCCAACTGATATTAGTCTATGATGAATAACAACTTGAAACATATTTCTAGCCACATAACAAAAATTGGACGTGACATACTCCAATCTAGGTGATCTTCTGAAACTTTTTTAATTATGCAACATTGGAAATCACCTCTCCAACTGAAAATCAATTAATAAATCTCCACAAACTCAAAAATAATTGACTAATTATGTAATTTACTTTTTATGATTAGAAATTAGCGATTCATCATTCTACTTGCAAAGTGATCACATGTTTATGCTTACTGAATCTAATTAATGACTTAATTACTATACAATCATTGATATATCCACTCATTATATTAAAGGTTATGCTAACCGTTTGGCTTTTATAGAAAGTTGAAACAGTTAGTATTTGTACTCGGTGATGATTGAAGGTGAGATGAAAATCTGAGCCGCAGCCGGATTCGAACCAGTGGCCACCGGGTTACCGGCCCGATGCTCTACCAATTGAACTACAAGGTCTGACTGCTGGCCAGAATTTTATTTCACTTCAATCACCAAGGGTTTCGCCCGACTACCATGTGAATCCGTGACGCGTTACTGCCGCTTGATCCCAATCCAAATCTAACTGAAACAGTTAATCCCTTTTATGAATTTCCATAGCGTAGTTAGAGGACGATGTTTATCTGAACAATGTGGCTGATATATTTGAGAAATACAACATTTCGAATAATCTCATCCCTCACACATTTACTTGTCTCAAGTCAATATATATTAAATCGAGGACTGGGAGGTGGGATAAATACAACAATTAACACAAGCAGGAAGTGACATGGTCCTAATCTTGGTAAGCAAACCAAGTTTACCAAGGTAGGTGTAGTGTATAAGAACAAATTGTTTTTGTACACATAAAGGTGATTTCAATTTGTGTATGGCTATGGCTTCCGCAGATTTCATTATGCGTCCCTGACTTACTGTTTCTATATAAACTTTGAAAGCTGTTTGAACACTAATTTTGTGACCTGTTTCTATAATATGTTTATCTGTAGATGAAGAGGGTCGTCTCCCACCAGCGTTTATCACTGTTTCACACTCCATTTGTTTTTGAAGCGATTTAGGCACATGTTTTCCCACCTTCAACTGCATAACTCGATTACTCCTCCCTATATAAATTGGTAAACACAATGGGATGTGACTTAACCAGTGTTTAGATTTTTGGTTACGTATGTGTTTTGTTATTTTCACAATGATAAGATTAGCTGCTTAATAAGTTTTAATGGCTGATGTTAGTCTACGTCTGAAAATGATACTATCCAACTCTCCTCTGTATGGTAGAGTGATATGGATGCTTTTCTTAGGAACTGTATATACAGTTGGCTTCGGCACTACAACGATTTATAAACTTCAACGGATATCCATTTTCCATAAGTGTCGGTCAGTAATATAACATCTTCATATCTGATGTTTGTGGGTGTTACTGATCCGAATGGATATATGTAGTATATGTTGAGAGGGTGGCAAAAATCATAAGGAATTTCCAATAATGGGTAAGGATTCTGCCATAAGAAACACAAGAGACAACGTATGAAGAGTAAATCAAGATAGAAGCAGAAGAGGAAATGAAGCAGATTTTGCAAGTGAATTATCTTAGTGGAAGGTGTACTATATTTAATGACTACTGTACAAGATGTCAATAATAAACATTCCCTCCTTCATCTCCTTCTTGTCATTTTCTATACTGATACGATAGATCTTATTAAACAGGCATCTATCTAGACCTCGCTTGTATTGTATTGTATTAGAGACAAGAACTGTGAACACCTAGGTATTGTCCTATCCATGTAGGCTTCCTGTAAATTGATCGTCTTATTAAACCATCTTCTTGTCGGCTCACCAATATATCTAAGAATGGCAGATGGTTATTATTCTCTTTGTCACAAGTCACATAAAACATGTACACCACTGCATATATATATATATATATATATATATATATATATATATATATATATTGTTTTTATATGTTTATCAGACAAATGTTCTGTTTCTACTTGACCTTTAAACTTTGTAATCTGCGCTACATACATTATATTGATTTTAAAAATCGTATGTTTAACAATAAGTAAACTAATAAACGATATATGGTGTTAATATACTTACTGTTAGACATAAGCACCTAGTGACATTCAGATAATCAACAGTCGTTTTGTTAGTGTAAACTAATTATGATAATCTATATGTAGTTGTACCATTGTTTTTCTTCTATAGTAGGTGTTTTTTTGTATGTTTTTCACGTGTTCTCATTTAGCTGATGAGATTAAATAACACTGAATTCTCTGGTGACAATCGAATTTTTATCTCCAAAATATTTTAATAGGTCAAAGCTCATTAGAATGATGAATTGTTAAAAACACAAAGCACTTAATTATTCTGGAAGTCATCATCAGCATCAATATAGGACCAGGCATTACCGCGTAACGGTCCAACTTGCTACACCTTATATCAGTACTTCAAGTAGAAAAGTAATGAGGTGAAAGATGGAGATAAGAGAATGCAGTCAAAAGAAATGCAGAGTACGAAAAAAGAGAAACGAAGGATGACAAAATGGTGAGATTCGGTATAGCGTCGTTTAGATGAGGATCATGTGTGTATACATCTGCACCACTCACATCGATTCTGAGTCATGTCATCTAGAATCAGTCTCCAACCACTGGTTCCTCTTCTACCACGAACCACAACCACCCAGTCTGCATCACACCACATGACTCAAACCAACAGTCAAACACTTCATACATTCATGACATGTTTTAGTCTGGCCGCCCTCGGCCTTTTTCCAGGCTGAACTCACTCACTCACTCACTTCACTCAACATTGTGTGACGAGACAATCGATGACTAGGCATATGTAAAACATGTCAGAGTCAACCATCTCACTTGATGAAGGTTCCACAACCTCATCAATTAACTTACCTCTCCTACCTAAACTAAAACTCTACAGATGAGCCTGACTTCTGCGTTACTCACATGGTGACATCAGGGAATACGACGTATACTAGGAAGGAAGGCAATGGTGGTGAAACAACTGAAGCCAGTCTTCTCATGTCTTCCATCTTCAATGTGCCTGTTTCACAACCATACAGTGGAAGAGAGCAGACTGGTGTGCAGTAGATGGGATCCTCAATAGACAGACAATGGGATATTAGCGTGGCGTGCCATAGGTGGCGTGAGTTGGTAAGAGCCAGTCGAGCCTTTTGTATCTGTACAGAGATTTCTGGAAGTAGTATTTATCATGTACTGACATCATTTGGGGAACAATTGAAAATCTAGGAGCATTGGACAGCTGTTTCGTCCTACTGCGGGGTTCCTTAGCAGATGGATATCATGAAGCCTTAATGAGAAGCCGTGATCTGTGGGGTCAACCAGTGGGAAGTGAAGCGGATGCCAACTGAAGACCTTAGATGGTAATCTTGCTATATCGTGAATTGACAAAAGTTGGAAATTGTGAACCATTGAAAGCAGACTCAGTGGCTAAATGGTTAACGCGTTCGCTGTGAAACCTGAAGGTCCTGAGTTCTGTCCCTAGCCGGGTCGTGGGTGCTTACTGCTAAGGAGTCCAATATTAGGACGGAACAGCTTTCCAGTGCTCCAAGACTTTCAATGGTTCCCCAACTGATGTCAGTCCATGATTAGTACTACTTCTAAATTAAAAATCCCCATTCATCTCGAAAATACATTAATTAATTATTCTTTGTATAAACATCCAGCGCTTAGTTGTTACGAATGTTTGGGAAGAATTTGAGCGCCAAGTTTGAATATTATAATCTCAAGGTGATTAGAAAACGTTTTTATTGTGTGTAAACTAGAGTTTGTTCAGCAAAATATTTTTGGATATCGACGAAATACGCTTAATACATAGAGAAGTGTTTAGAAAAAAATCTTTTTTTCACTTTCTAAACACACCGAAAAATTTCCTTATATTAATGACATAAGTGTTCTGTTGTGTATTTTGTTATAGAGATCTGGTTCATCAGCTTAAACCAGGTAATGAGCCTCGACTTCAAATCTCTCTTGGTAGTAGCCTGTTTCCATGTGGCCAAAGGTTAAAATTAGGAGATATCAAGCATTGCTCGGGTGTAGTGGAATCACCGTATAAGCAATTTTGAGGTCAAGTGAAGAGTTGTAGAAAAGGAAGGCCAAGCCGAGCCATCATCCATCTGGATGATCCATTCTAGAGGAAGTTGGATTAACTTGGAAGAGGGTTCAGGGTGACCACATTAAGATATGTCACCAGTCCATGAAGTCCTTGCCTGTTGGTCTAAATCGTGTAGGGAGGCATAGAGTACGTGACTGGGTCGGTGAGACGATACTAGTCGTTAGTTGACGATACTTGGTAATATGGATGAAGATTGATTGAAATGACCCAAATGTATTCACTCTTTGACGTCTTCTAAAGCTTGAACGTTTTGAGTAAAGTTGTGGCTCAGTGGTTTAGGGAGTTGACTTCAGTAGGTCACGGGTTCCAACACTATTCCACCTACCTACCTAGTCGTGGGCAGTCAGGTAGTATTATTAGCCTTCACATAAAAGGTGTGGCTCATTGCCTACTGCATGAATGTGCTCAAGGTCGCTGAGTGTATTTCGATTTTGATGAACGTTTTAACTAAAGCTAATTTTTTTCAAGTTCCCTCTTGGACTCTCCCCCACCGTCCCACCATACATCTTTCCTACCCACTTGTTCCTTGTATCCTACTATGAAGTGTAGCAACTTGAACCGATGAAATTGTGTGTATGTGTGTGAGATTCTGTGTTGATTTTGTCCGTATCTTTATATATATCTAAACACTACATTGCTATATGAGAATGGGTTTATTTTCCAGCTGCAGACAACATAAGGTGTGATATTTTTCGGGAACGGTATACATTTGTCTCGTGTGTGTTGCGTGATGAAAATCGCCTATAATCGAATTTGTGCATAGAATTCTAATAATAGCTATATGTGTTGTTCATTACCTTCAATTTCAAGTCTGTTAGCTTTCTGATGTAGATCTACGAAAAAACCCGAAATAGAGTGGTAAGAGAGTATAGATGCTTTTGGAGTGAAGACAGGAGTAAAACAAGGCTGTCTACTATCACCCATGATATTCCCGATTGTGGTGGACTGGATCATGCAACAAACAGTGAGGAGCGAGAAGAGGGGGATACACTGGACTGCGGAAAAGAACCTAGAAGACTTGGATTTCGCCAACGATGACTTCTGTCTAATGTCACATAAACTTGAAGATCTACGGGCGAAAACTAACAAGTTGACAGAAGAGGCAGGGCAGCAAAGGCGGGACTCCAAGTGAACGTAGAAAAGAGAGAGGTGATGAAGATACCCAACCAACAACAACGAGCTCCAATCACCATCAATGGGAGAAACTTAAAGGAAGTAGCCTCCTTCATCTATCTAGGCAGCACTGTTTCAACTACACGCGGTGGTGACACAGACGAGAATATCAAAGCCAGTCAGGATCGGAAACACAGCAAGACAGATATTCATTAACCTGAAATCGGTGTGGAGATCTTCTGCACTGCACTCAGCATAAAGCGGGAACATGATCCGGATTTTCAACACCAACGTCAAGTCAGTGCTTCTGTATGGCTCAGAGACTTGGCGGGTTACGAAAGGCGTTCCCAACAAACTACACACATTCATCAACAACTGACTACACTAGCTCGTTACTGAAGATCAGATGAGAAGGCCAGAAAGAATAAACAACAAGGAACTCTAGCTGGTGACGAATCAACCAAGAAGCTATCACTCAAGAAATATGCAGGAGGAAGTGGAGATGGGGATGGATTGGGCATACACTGAGAAGGCCGACTGGGGACGTCACGCGCCAGGCCAGCACAGACCCTCGAGTGGAACCCAGATAGGAAACGACGAGTTAGGCGTCCGAGGTGAGGGTGACACTGAGGAGATGGTGTGAGGAAGAAATGAGAGGTTGTGGGCTGTCGTGGAACCAGGTTCAAAAGTTTGCAGAAAAGAGAGTGGAATGGAGACGTGCTACTGAAGCCGTATGTTGCACTGAGAACCCAAGAGACAAATAATAATAATAATATATAATAGGAGTATAGATGATGTGCGACGTAGTGACATGATATTAGATCATTATAGGTATAATTCACACCTAAAATCCAATGGGTTATGTTACTATCTCTCTGTTTATATCACATTGAGTTGAAGGAGTCTGGAATCTAGAAACAGGTGAATCAATAAAAATTAAATGATTGAAAGCATAAGACAGGAAGTCCTGCTTTAACCTAGGCAGTTTTCCTACTTGTTGGCATTCACTTACCAGGAAGACGTATCTGCGATTTCATAGAATTTTAAGGTGTCATTCATCACACATAGAGACCATTTAGAAAGTCATTGAAAATATAGGGGGTATTGGTTGACTATTTCATCTTAGTACAACACTCCTCAGTAGTTCAAACTCATAATCCTACCCGAGGGATTGAACCGAGAACCGTTAAGTTATGCAATGAGTGCATTGTCATCCAGCCACCGGATTAGGATACATACAATGATTATAATTTTCCTAATTCCATCACTTCGTGATATAATATGACCATTATCCAGACTTCAGAAGATCTATGTCAAAGCATGTTCACTCCTTGAAATTGTATAATTTTTTTTTAGTTGCTCAATGGATTCAATTTCAATATGTGAATTAACAAACATTTGGTATTAAATTAGATGATAGAAATAAAATGTAATATGCTGTCAACTTGTACGCTTTTTTTGTGTGGATTAATCACCTTTTTATTGTCAATAAAGAGATGTAATTATTCCTTTTTTGGGGTTTTTATCTATTTTTTAAAAAAAGGTATTTTGGGGATTAGACAAAAAATTAGCTCAACGTAAACACTTTCCTAGTGTTAATTGGCTTATCTCTTATTCAAAATATCTACGTGCATTAGATGATTATTATGATCGTAATTTTCCAGAATTTGTTGCTTTACGAACTAAAATGCAAGAAATTTTACAAGAAGAAGAAGAACTCTCTGAAATTGTTCAATTAGTTGGCAAAGTAAGTGGGATCTATACAACTTTCCAATGATCTATACTTTATTTAACTAATTTTTTGTAGTAATTTAATGCTAAGCATCTACTAGTCTGACATTTTATTCTTTTACTTCCTGTTATGGTGTTTAGAAAGAAGTTTCAAGATCGTAGGTAGTTTACACCTGTCAACATCTTGAATGTCTATTCTTTTTCTAGGTTTCAGGATGCGTGGTTGCTTACCCCATAGAACATAATCTGTTTGAGACTGACCATATTATATGGTTGTTTAGTATGAATTTGATAATATAGAATCCCTACGTCAAAATTCTCTTACCATTGATGAATGGTGTGCACAACGTTTAGAGTCTACCTTCTTCTAACTAAGCGAAGAGTGCATCAGTGTTTCTAAGGAACTGCATTGTCGAATCTGTGACTATAAAATCATCTCATACTATTACCAATTTTTGATCGCATCATTCTCCAGTTGATTTTCCTCGTATAGTCATCATTATCATCAACATGGGACCAGCCATTACTGCGCAGCGGTCCAACATGATACACCTCATATCAGTACATCAAGTAAAAAGGCAGTGAAGTGGAAGATGAAGAAAAGAAAATCCAATCAAAAGAAACATAAAGTACGAAAAGAGAGAAAGGAAGAACGAGAAAATGGTGAGATTCCGTATAGCGTCGTTAAGATGAGGATCATGTATGTATACATCTGCGCCGCTCACATCGATTCTGAGTCATGTCATCTAGAATCAGTCTCCAACCACTGGTTCCTCTTCTACCACGAACCACAACCACCCAGTCTGCATCACACCACATGACTCAAACCAACAGTCAAACACTTCATACATTCATGACATGTTTTAGTCTGGCCGCCCTCGGCCTTTTTCCAGGCTGAACTCACTCACTCACTCACTTCACTCAACATTGTGTGACGAGACAATCGACGACTAGGCATATGTGAAACATGTCAGAGTCAACCATCTCACTTGATGAAGGTTCCACAACCTCATCAATTAACTTACCTCTCCTACCTAAACTAAAACTCTACAGATGAGCCTGACTTCTGCGTTACTCACATGGTGACATCAGGGAATACGACGTATACTAGGAAGGAAGGCAATGGTGGTGAAACAACTGAAGCCAGTCTTCTCATGTCTTCCATCTTCAATGTGCCTGTTTCACAACCATACAGTGGGAGAGAGCAGACTGGTGTGCAGTAGATGGGATCCTCAATAGACAGACAATGGGATATTAGCGTGGCGTGCCATAGGTGGCGTGAGTTGGGAAGAGCCAGTCGAGCCTTTTGTATTTGTGCAGAGATTTCATTGGTGGTCACTGAGGCACCAGTACAGGGCTGATCCTGCTTCCCAGGTAAGTGAGGTGGTCAACACACTCAACCACTACACTCTCTATTGTTAGCCGCGGTGGGGCATCGTTGGACACCAATCCCCGAGCAACAATTTGCATTTAGGTATTGAGGAAGGTATCCCAAACATTCTCCAATTCCCACTCAAAGTGTCCAGGAAACTCTGCATCTTGTCAGCGTCTTCACCCAACAGGACTATGTCATCTGCGTATTCTAGGTCTAATAAAAGTTCTGCTGCGATTAGGTCAAAATCTCTGTAGTCAGATGAGGAGAGAGATAGACTGCCTCAAGAATATCTATGATAAAACTGAATAAGAATGGCGAGTGGGCATCCTTGACGGACACCACTCGACGAGCACAGCTCTTGAGACATCTCACCATAGGCACCAACACGCCCACAACTGTTCGAGTGGAAAGCCATCAATAAGGTGATTCCTGGTATATTACCAGATCGTTATAGTACTATAGTATTACTTGAAGAAGAAATTATGCCAATCAGATTAATTATTACGATAAACAAGGGTGATCACCATATCAAGGCATCAGTTGTTGTGATATCTGTTGAACCTGCTTCATCCTTTTTTTGGGGGGTAAGGGGTTGGACTCTGTTGTTGAAGTTGATTTGTATGTCTTCATTTAAAACGAGAATGACTTCAACCCTTGTTTATACAAATTATACATTCGTTATCCCGTTATTTTTTTTGCTATGGTTACAATATGTGTGCTGTTCAAACATCTGGAGTTTCTCCTCATATCAAGTACTTATCTGGGATATATTCAATTACTAGGCTACTAAACATATTCATCTTGGTGGCTAGTAATGGGATTCAAAACATGGTTTTCGTCCTATTTGGGACTCATCAGCTGAATGTACCTGCTTTCTAGTGAGTAATCGTATTCTCACTGATACAGGGACAACCATATACCCATCGCTTCAAACACCACGGCGCTATCCACTAGGCCACCTCTTATGCAACAGGTATTAGTTTTTTTTGTCGGTACCTGTAGTTTCCCTCTTGAAGTGATTTGTTCGGGATTCGAATCTTGATAAGAATGCCGTCGCTTACTGGGGTTCAAGTATGCCCAGCTGGACAAAATCAATATACATTCAAGCAGTATCAAGGCATTCGCATAGGAACACCCATCTGTCAACATATGTTGATCAATCTGACCCAGGTATATCAACGGGAAATTACAAGTATCAACATATGATAACATATAATCTAGTTAGCACACTGAGAGGTGGTGGGTTAACATTCCTATCGGTCTAATTATTCTTCCTTTGTATAGTACTATGGATAACCTTCGAGACTGACCACGTGATGGTTTGCTGTCTATATACAAGCAATCATTTGAAATGGCCTAATGTCAAGTCTTACTGTCTTCATTAGAAGTCTTATTGATGAAATGCAGAGTAAAATTGTGTATTGTTTAACAAATTCCCTCCCTAATATATATCTCCAGGATCATCGATGATGTTGAATGGTTAATATCATGAGCATCCATTGTTTCCATTGTACTGAAATATGAGATGGTAATTGGTAGAAAAAAAATTCCCAAGCAATATCCTTATTATTGATTTATGCATTTCTGTTTAGAGATTTGTGGAGATTTATTCATTCATCATGAACTGAACTGGAGAAACATTGAAAACTTGGGACCACTGGATAGCTGTTTCGTCCTGGTATAGGACTCCTCAGCAGTACGCACCCATGACCCCGCCAGGAATCGTACCCTGGACCCCTTCGGGTTTCGTAGCCAACATGTTATCATTATTAAGCTAGCCACTGGGTCGAAATTCAATGGACCACATTTCCTACTTTTGTCAGTTCACGATATAGCGCAACCTACATTCAATACCATCATGTTCGACTTGGTTGACGCCATTGGTTATGATTTCTCATTGAAACTTCATTTATTTATGCATATATTTATTCATAAATTCATCTATTCACTGAGTTGATGTGTTTTTAATCTTAGTCCCGCTTTTTTTTTTTAAATCTTGGGTTTCACTTTCTTAAATGTTTAGGCATCTCTTGCTGAAGCAGATAAAATTACCCTAGAAGTTGCACGTATCATTAAAGATGATTTTCTACAACAAAATGGTTATTCATCTTATGATAGGTGAGTCAACTGAGAATACTGTTGTTATTGTTAACAATTTGAGTATGTATACTTTTTACACTTTGGTTAAGGAACTTCATCAGTCGTCTAACATTGACATCAATAACAAATGAATAATTATCAATCAATAAACCTTGATTAACTCATAAAATAAAACAAAAATCCAGCGGTATATTATAAATGATATTCTCATCATTTTCAATGATACAGAAAAGGATCTATACGAATTTAACAACTATGTAATCCTTCGATCAAAGTGACACTAGAGATGTACAGGTAAAAAAATGAAGTTGTGGTTCATAGATTAAGGGAAATGATTTTCAATCGATGGTTGACTAATCCAGATGTCTCTCTACCTATGAAAATTTACTTAGTCAAGTGGTATCATTAGCTCTAACACATATGATAGATGTTTGGCTCATTGCCTACTCCATGAATATGCACAAGTTACTAAGTACATTTTGACTTGTACAGGTTAAAAGAAGCATCAGGAGAAATAGTTAAAACCTCTGTCTACATGAAACTGTATATGGAATGGAAACATAACAATTTTCACTTATATCCAATCTTGATACTTTAGTAAATGAACTAAGTTTTCTTAAACGTTTTTTTTTTCTAATTTGAAAACCAGTATCCTGAACATTTCATTGCAAAAACTCTAAAAACTGAAACCAAATAATCATTCTTCTCTATAGTTTATAATAACCCTTTTACTGGATTTACAATTCAATGGTGAAGGGAGGGAGGAGGTGACTTATCTGTAGAAATATTAAGTAACCTCCTTAAGAAAGATTTATGCTGCCTTCTTTAAACATTTCATTGTGTTTTTAACAATTCATCTATTCTTTATGGAGTAAGGTATGTACACAGAGTTTATCTACGAGGATATACCAGCTTCCTTCCATAAAGGAAAAAAAGATAATGCTTTCTATCTCTATCTTAAAACATTTAATTGATTTTAATCAACTGGTGGTAAATATAGAAAACTTCAGTATTATCTATAGAGGGTTCTTGGAAATGGGTCGGTCGCGGGTTCGAACCCCACTTCACCTATCAAGGTTTGGACATTTAGGCAGTGTGAATAACCGTCACACTAAGTATAAATTATTGTTTACTGCATATAGTTACTGATTTCGATTCAAACAAACGTTATGAAAGATGTACACCTGAAATGTTGTCGAAATGCGGAAGCTATATTACACCCCATAGTAACTTAATATTGCTTCGATCTTGATAAGTCTTCTCATTAGTATTTTAGACAATCTCGAAGGTAAACTTTTCTTAGAAATATATTTTATGAAAAATAGGCTTTCTGTTACGATTGTTCACCTTTAAAGTGATATGGCTGATAAAACTTACTCTCCACTAAGTATCTTGTGTTTGATAAAGTAAATAAGTCCAGTTTAATTACATTTCACTAGGTCTATCTATGTATTCAGGTTGTCAGTCTGAGTCGGTTAGTTAACAAGTTGTTGGACAAAACATGTATTAGCTAAGAAGAAATATTTCCTTTCAACAACTTCATTATCAAACTGGACAGTCGTATTTATACTTGGTAAAGGGACAGATAATTGCACTAAGAAGAATTGTTCAGTCAATATGCACAGAAGGTGTTGATAGTGGTATTTGTTCAAGTGAAAGAAATTGAAAATCGGTCACTGAATAAGGAACGAATTGATAACAAGTAGTGAGATAAGAGACACGTGTTGTCAAAACATTGTAAAATGGTGATAATTAATCTGAAACATGCAAAAGAGGTCAATGAATAAGGAATGAATTGATATTAAATAGTGATGTATGGGTCAAATGTTGTCAATGAAATGAAAATCGGTAATAATAAAAGAGAAGTATGCCAAGGTGAAATGAAATGAAATTGACAAGATTATTATTATTATTATTATTATTATTATTATTATTATTATTATTATTATTATTTGTCCCTTGGGAATATAGGGCTTCAGTAGCACGTCTCCAGTGCACTCTGTTGTCTGCAAACTTCTGAACCTGGTTCCACGACAGCCCACAAACTCTCATTTCTTCCTCACACCATCTCCTCAGTGTCACCCTCACCTCGGACGCCTAACTCGTCGTTTCCTATCTGGGTTCCACTCGAGGGCATGTGCTGGCCTGGTGCGTGACGTCCCCAGTCGGCCTTCTCAGTGTATGCCCAATCCATCCCCATCTCCACTTCCTCCTGCATATTTGTTGAGTGATAGCTTCTTGGTTGGTTCGTTGACAGCCAGCCAGCTAGAGTTCCTTGTTGTTTATTCTTTCTGGCCTTCTCATCTGATCTTCAGTAACGAGCCAGTGTAGTCAGTTGTTGATGAATGTGTGTAGTTTGTTGGGAACGCCTTTCGTAACTGGCCAAGTCTCGAAGCCATACAGAAGCACTGACTTGACTGAAATAGTGTTGAAAATCCTGATGTTATTCCCGCTTTATGCTGAGTGCAGTGCAGAAGATCTCCACACTGGTTTCAGGTTAATGAACGCCTGTCATGCTGTGTTTCTGATCCTGACTGGCTTTGACGTCCTCATCTGTGCCTGTGCCACCTGTAATTGAAACAGTGCTGCCTAGATAGGTGAAGGAGGCTACTTCTTTTAAGTTTCTCCCATTGATGGCGATTGGAGCTTGTTGTTGTTGTTTGGGTATCATCACCATTTCTGTCTTGAAATGAAATGGACTAGATAACCTAAGTGAATTATTCAGGCCAGGGTAGAGAAAGTGGTTTCATAAAACGTTTCTGAATGCAAAGTTTCGGTTTCTGTTCATGTATAGCTAACACTTCAGCTATGCATAAGTGATGGAAATGTAAACTTTTGGAGTAGTTCAATTTAACTGTGTAAATTATCTCAAAGGATGAACCTCGAGGAGCTGAATGACCTAATTCTACTGGGTGTTCACATATGGATGAAGTCGTTTTTCTTCGCTTACTTTTGATAAGCCAAACTCGTTAATGTTCAGCAACACGTTTTCAAAAGGTTCGCTTACAACGTCCACTATAGTCAGCTGCACAGGAGCATGTGAATTTGTAGATACACATAGAAGTGGATGCATTGTCGAATCAGATGGTAGATGGAAAATATCAATCTCAGTCTAGCGGCATAGAAGCTACTGTTCATAAACCTTGACAAACGGATTTTCAGCACTCTGGCTGTGTTGTCTCCTTTGAATTCTAGATTCATGGTTAAAATTTTCTTAGGGACTGTAATGGGATGGAAAGTGGTTCGTTTCTTCAGATTCTTATCAATAAATCTTTTTGGGTATGCATTATTTCATAGTGTTGTTCTAAGAGTTACGATTTCAACATTCACCGTGTCTTCTGAACATGTTATAGATTCTGGAACACAGAGTAAATAAGATTTCTTTTACAACTAAGAGGTACCCAACTATTAAATTTGATGTACTGGCCTTTCTAGATTGGTCTTCAATAGTGTGATCTTTGCAGAATCGGAAAAGCAAGACGGGTGTTCATTAGCCTGAAACCAGTGTGGAGATCTTCTGCACTCAGCATACGGATTTTCAACACCAACATCAAGTCAGTGCTTCTGTATGGTTCAGAGACTTGGCGCGTCACGAAAGGGATTTCCAATAAACTACAGACATTCATCAACAACTGATTACGCTCGCTACTGAAGACCAGATGAGAAGGCCAGAAAGAATAAGCAACAAGGAACTCTGGGAACGAACCAACCAAGAACCTATCACCCAACAAATATGCAGGAGGAAGTGGAGATGGGGATGGATTGGCCATGCACTGAGAAGGCCGACTGAGGACATCACGCGTCAGGCCAGTTGCTCGAGTGGAATCCCCATGGGAAGCGACGAGTTGGACGTCCGAGGGTGACATGGAGGAGGTCGTGCGAGGAGGAAATGAGAGCTTCTGGGCTGTTGTGGAACCAGGTTCAAAAGATCTCAGAGAACAGAGGTCACTGGAGACGTGCTACTGAAGCCCTATGTTCCACTAGGAACCCAAGGGACTAATAATAATAATAATAGAGTGATCTTTCAATTGAACCGTCATTCCTTCTCTTTAATATTACGTCTGGAAAGTGGAACGTTGGATTTTTAACTCTTCCTCTACAGCGAATTAAATGGATGAGTGACAATCATTGAAACGTCTTAACAGCTTGTCCACTAAACGTTTTATTAGAAACAAGAAAAGTGTCGTCCCTTGTCTACAAATAAAGTTCAAAGATTATTTCTTTAAGTGGCCTGTTTTCGAGCTTCGCCATAAAGATATCAACCAGGACACACGGCCTAGTGGAAACTCCATTACGACTCCGTTACTCTGATTATAAATCATATCATTAAATCTGAACTGTGCATTAAGCGTACATCTTAATATCAGTCCTTTTAGATGCCTCGTAGGTAATCCAATGTTAATATTATTCGTAATCAATGTAATCATATAGATAGCAAACGGTTTCAACAAGTGGAACATTGGTAAATAAAAAGTAAACATCAAGCGATATCACACGCTTACCTGTAACGTTGATTTCTTCGATACCGCAAGCAAAACCAAATGTATCGGGAAGATTATATTTGTCCAGATTTGATCTCGCAGGTTCAAGCATTTTAGCAATCCACTCCACCAATGAGTGATAAGGTGAAATAAGTATATCTAATAATGTGTGAAGAGGAAGACCATGTTTATACACCTTCGGCAGATCATATGAACGGAGCATCTATCATCTTACCAAATATAAATACGATCTTGGTTGTATTGTGTTCTCTGAGCTGGGTTATTTAATCGTGACGACATCATCAACACTAACTTCAGTATGAAGTGAGCTGTCAATATCTCTCCATGAGTGATTTGGTGGCTTGCTATGACCAACTGGTTTGTGATTTGTTGTTTCCTTCGATTGTTGTCTCATTGATTGTATAGACTTTCTTGTTGGCTGTTCCTCTCCTTCACCTCTCACCTTTCTGTTGTTTATCACTTTTCTCATTGGTTGATAGATTGGATCTATGTCTATACATCTACTGATTGCCGACTGAGTGACCTGAATGCCAAGCTTCTGGGAATTCTCTAATATTCTTTGTGTTTCCTCTCTCCGTCAAAGATCTCTACATTGTCGAAATTGAATTCATGTCCATAGTTGTTATCCACATGGGATGTCATGATGTTTAATAGCCAATTGGTGTTCATGTAAATGATGAAGGGAAGAGGGTGACCACTTTGTCCAATATAGTGTTGACTACAGTTATTGCAGTTGATTTTGTAAATGATATTCAGTTTGTCTTCTTTGTTTGTTGCATACTTTGGTGAGACCACTTGGAATTGGTGTGGCTCAGAAACCAACAAATTCCCTCTAAATACTATTATACAGACTAAAGGATGCAACAAGCAAAGAAGACAAACCGAATATCATTTACAAAATCAACTGCAATAACTGTAGTCAACATTATATTGGACAAAGTGGCCGCTCTCTTCACCTCCGTCTGCATGAACACCAATTGATTATTAAATGTCACGAGATTTCATCACTCATCTCAATGCACATGGATGACAACTATGGATATGAATTGAATTTCGACAATGTAGAAATTTTGGATGGAGAGAGGAAACACAAAGAATATTAGAGAATTCCCAGAAGCTTGGCATTCAGGTCACTCAGTCGGCAATCAGTAGATGTGTAGACATAGATCCAATCTATCAACCAATGAGAAAAGTGATAAACAACAGAAAGGTGAGAGGTGAAGGAGAGGAACAGTTAACAAGAAAGTCTATACAATCAATGAGACAACAATCGAAGGAAACAACAAATCACAAACCAGTTGGTCATAGCAAGCCACCAAATCACTCATGGAGAGATATTGACAGCTCACTTCATACTGAAGTTAGTGTTGATGATGTCGTCACGATTAAACAACCCAGCTCAGAGAACACAATACAACCAAGATCATCCATCTGAGCTACAAATATTCTCCATTCTTTCATAAATACGATCATACAGCTTGATAGTGAAGTCATTGAAAAGAAATATTTCTTCTTACCTGATACATGTCTTGTTCTTATATTCATGAATAAATGGATATATTTTATCTATTTTGTTTTACTCTTCTCTAACTCTCATCATTTTGCTTACACACACATTCAGATTCTGTCCATTTTATAAGACTGTTGGAATGATGAAGAATATAATCGCTTTCTACGATCAAGCTAGACACGCTGTTGAAGTGACGGCACAATCTGATCGTCGCGTTACATGGGCATTAATTCGTGAAGCAATGGGTCAAACTATTTATAAAGTATCCAGTATGAAGTTTAAAGATCCGAAGGCTGATGGAAAGGTAAGTTAGCAAAAGATTTTCTGGTTCTTCTTCTCTCTCTTAATCTACTAGGCATTTCGCTGATAACTGTGATATTTTTTCAAACATTTTATATGATGTCTATATCATATCAAGTGGATAAATGGTCACCGTCGAATGGCAATATCTCTCACTGAATGGCGTGCCGAGTAAGTAAACCGCCGTTCTGAAGGGTCTCCACTCGAACAGTTGTGGGCGTGTTAGTGCCTATGGTGAGATGTCTCAAGAGCTGTGCTCGTCGAGTGGTGTCCATCAAGGATGCCCACTTGCCATTCTTATTCATTTTTATCATAGATATTCTCGAGGCAGTCTATCTCTCTCCTCATCTGACTACAGAGAGTTTGACCTAATCGCAGCAGAACTTTTATTAGACCTAGAATACGCAGATGACATAGTCCTGTTGGGTGAAGACGCTGACAAAATACAGAGTTTCCTGGACACTTGAGTGGGAATTGGAGAATGTTTGGGATGCCTTCCTCAACACCTGAATGTAAATTGTTGCTCGGGGATTGGTGTCCAACGGTGCCCCACCGCGGCTAACAATAGAGAGTGTAGTGGTTGAGTGTGTTGACCACCTCACTTACCTGGGAAGCAGGATCAGCCCTGCCCTGGTACCTCAGTGACCACCGATGAGATCTCTGCACAAATACAAAAGGCTCGACTGGCTCTTCCCAACTCACACCACCTATGGCACGCCACGCTAATATCCGATTGTCTATTGAGGATCGCGTCTACTGCACACCAGTCTGCTCTCTTCCACTGTATGGTTGTGAAACATGCACATTGAAGATGGAAGACATGAGAAGACTGGCTTCAGTTGTTTCACCACCATTGCCTTCCTTCCTAGTATACGTCGTATTCCCTGATGTCACCATGTGAGTAACGCAGAAGTCAGGCTCATCTGTAGAGTTTTAGTTTAGGTAGGAGAGGTAAGTTAATTGATGAGATTGTGGAACCTACATCAACTGAGATGGTGGACTCCGATTGTCTCGTCACACAATGTTGAGTGAAGTGAGTGAGTGAGTGAGTTCAGCCTGGAAAAAGGCCGAGGGCGGCCAGACTAAAACATGTCATGAATGTATGAAGTGTTTGACTGTTTGTTTGAGTCATGTGGTGTGATGCAGACTGGGTGGTTGTGGTTCGTGATACAAGAGGAACCAGTGTTTGGAGACTGACTCTAGGTGATGTGGCTCAGAATCGATGTGAGTGGCACAGATGTATACACACATGATCCTCATCTAAACGACGCTATACCGAATCTCACCATTTTCTCGTTCTTCCTTTCTCTCTTTTCGTACTTTATGTTTCTTTTGATTGAATTTTCTTTTCTTCATCTTCCACTTCACTGCCTTTTTACTTGATGTCCTGATATGAGGTATGGTGTGGCAACTCGAAGGGTTACGCAGTAATGCCTGGTCCTATGTTGGTTTGACTGATGGATGAACATCGGATTGTTCCACGTTGAATATTGGATTCTTAAGAATTATGAAGTGAGGTGGGATAATATACATAGTGATGACTGTATTATTCGGCATAGTTTTGACGCTAATTGAAACCTGACGATGTAGGAGCTACAGATGAATCTTCATCTGTCGTTTCGGAAGACATTTTATTTTTCATAAATTTACCGAATTCTAACAAAATATCCTGCCGAGCACTTTGAATAGTTAGGAATCTTCATCAGTCAAATTATTATTATTATTATTATTAGTCCCTTGGGTTCCTAGTGGAACATAGGGCTTCAGTAGCACGCCTCCAGTGACCTCTGTTCTCTGAGATCTTTTGAACCTGGTCCCACGACACATCAGTCAAATTAGAGTGAACTTAACCCCTCCTGCGGACGTTGCATTCGTTTGGCGCGGAGCTCATCGTTGGATGTACTCAAACAAATTCAGTTCACAGAGTCAAATTAGTTTAGATCACCTGAATCTGCCTTGCTAGCTGACTTGGATGGACAACAGTTAACCTTACCTTCCATAGGGTGATCTATTTGTAAATGATTTAAAAATTGCACGTTTCATTTTGAGTAGTTTTGCAACTGCTCAACTGTGGTTTCGTGTTACACCGCTGATGAGCTCGACAATCCAAAAAGAGTGAAACAGCCATCTGGTGTTTAGTTCACTCTGATCTCTGGCTATCGAAATTTAAAGACCAGTCTAACTACGTTTGTTCTTTAGTAGATTTCATTAATCCATGACATTTTTGTGTCCGACATCACAGTCTATGGCGCTGAGTTGAGCAGTTGAAAAACTAATCAGCTATGAAGAGTATGAATGTGGATCGTGTACTTTGCAAATCATATGCAAATTCAATATTCTATTGACGGATATTACCATGGAATTACAGTTTATCATATAAAAATTTCGTCTCTTAATTGTGAAAACTCTCCTGAGGTTGATATAACTTTTCAACACGCAGCTTTTATTAACACTGTTAGATGATTGGAGACAATCGTCAGAAAACCGTGGACTCCTATGTTTTATACTTACTAACAATTCTGTACAAGGTTTATCGGCAACATTGAGGCAACTACTCTCCCATCTGAAGTTCCAACCCGCGTCATCCAATATCGCAGTCATAGTTATTACTACTGAGCTATTTAGGCTGCGATTTACCGACTGTTCGTTGATCGGTAGCTGGAGAGGTTGCGGACGAGTGCCATGGCTTCCTAGCCATTACCTCCAACAGTCTAACATCATTTGTAGTACATCATAATACTAAAGCTGTTGGCTTGGTAACTACATTACATAATTTCTTTTAGTTCTCACTGTGCTGTTCAGCCGGGTAGCGCGGAGGCGACTATCAACTGGGATCCAGTCTAGTAGTGAGCTTTCTGCCCTAGTGCTTAATGCTATGCCTACACCTGCAAGTCCCCGAGAGCTAGCTATCGAATCTCCAGAAACTCGAAGGGTGAATTTTGCGGATTCACCAGATTGGTCGGGAGAGGTCAGGTGAATAACCGCACTTGGGTAGTCCTGTATGTGAGTCTCACAAACACAGCACACATCCATGGCCCGAGTTGCTAAATTCTTGGTCAATGAAGCCTGTTGGCCGATTTGACGGAGGGTGCGGACATGGAAGATCCCGATGTGTAATTTGGAGCGTAGTTTAACGAGACCAAGGATGCCGTTCTGTGAACTCAGATCGTTGTCAAAGGCTGCAGAGCTAGGCGAAATTGAAGTTGATGTAGTGCGGTTAATTGAGAGACGTGAAGGAAGATTAGAAGGTAATGATGGGGGAAGTGGATAGCAATCTGAGGAAACTTGAGTGCTGATCGAGTTGTGAGGGCGATTGACACTTCCCGACTGCCCACACTGCGGAAGGCTATTTCTTCTTAAGCTACCTGAAAGAGATTTGTGTGACCGCAGAGCTCATCGGATATCTGCTTGAGGCCTATCACACTCAGCCTTTGGTGTATAGTTGTTTTGAAATTTTGTTGTTTTGGGGCCGGATGATCAAAAGGAAACGACAAATAAAGCAACACCGCCGCCCTGGAAGACTGTGGGGTGTGGTGGAGTGTGTTATTTTGTTGGCTGACCTTTTCTAACCCTTCCCCCCGTTCCACTGAGAAGGCAGCATCAACATGGCACTGCTGGTCATCCAAGAGAAACACCTTACTGCTGTCATACCCCATCCAGCTAGCAGCAGTACGACTTCGCCCTCAGACCCCCATCCTAGTGTAGTAATTCCCGCACAGTGGTGACTGCTTTTCGTCTTACCACAATCTGACAAACCTTTCTGGTATGGTAGGACCTCAAAGGAACAAGTGTTCCACCGGCATAGCTTGTTGGGTCATTGTGATATGCAAGCCCGACCACCACGTCGAGGTAGCAGCTATCGGTCAGTAGAACTCTGTTAGCACTTTGGATTTGAAATGAAATTGGTCACTCTCTACTAATCAGTCAATACTTCATATCTATCTTCCCATCTCTGTGTATGCAACTATACAACTGATACATTAGTGGAAGTTTTATTTATTTAAACAACTGAATTTTTATTCTTCTCACATTGATTTCATTGGTTAAACGATAAATGTGTTCATTACTCAAAGAAATAATTTGCTTATTTCTTTGAAAATGTTCTCCCTCCTTCTTGTTTTCCTTTCTATTTTACAATAGGAGAAAATCCTTCGAGATTATGATGAATTGTACGAAGAAATATCTGCTGGATTCAGGAATTTAGAAGACTTATAAATATTATGCTTCTCTGCGCTCTTCTTCGTGTTATTGTAATCACGGCTTGTTTTACTCACTTTTTCGTTCCATTGTTATCTCCCTCTCTCTCTATTTCGCTCCTATCTAACATCATAATGGTAATTCATGATTTTTCCGTTGGTATCATCAGTTTACAAAGTTCATCTATTTATTTATTTATTTATCACTTCCTGGGGGATTTATTCTCGTTGAATAATAGACAATAAGACTTTGATTACATTCTACTCATAAGTAGTAGTTATCTGACCAATATAATTTTATCACACCAAATAAGCAAATTGATGTGATAGTTCTATGCATAATATTGTCTTGATACGTTTCAATTATATTTACAGTGTTTGTTTTTTTTTATGAGAAAGTGAAATCACCATCTGATAGTATCAATAATCACTCTTTATTCGTTCTTCGGCATATATGTTTTTCTCCTGCCCTTTCCTCCTTGTTGTCTTCTTCTGTGTGTGTGTGTGTGTGTATGTGCGTGTTAATGTAAACTGATATATGTATATGGATGAGTTTCTGTTTTCTTCTGTTTTCAGATTCTACCTTCTATCATTCCACTCCTTGTTTGTTACCTGTTATTATGAATTTAGAAACATGATCTATCGAAAGTAAACCTCCTTCTCTGTTGTGATTCTCTTATGACTTATCTTTTCAAAAAACTACTGTAATTGTTATTGTTACTGCTGTTGTCATTCCTTTCTCGTAGGGTTTAGCATTTGGGTGCTAACAGTCAGAAATACTTTGTTGCTGTTCATTCTTTTTCCGAAATATAGTGATTTATCAAGAATAAGATAGTTGTATCACCATCCCACCCCCACTAATTACGTCACCAAGACGTACTTTACATCGGAAGCTGTTCTGAAGTCAATGTAATTGATTCACTACGATGACGTAGTCACTTCTTAATTGGTAGATTTCAGTCTACACTTAAATGGGGTTAGGTAGGATAATCGCATCAGTTTCTATCGCGAAAGGCCCGAGGTGACCAGACTGAAATATGCCACCAATGTATGAAGTCTCTGACTGTTGGTTTGATCCATGTACGGCGATGCAGACTAGGTGGTTGGGGTCCGGGGGACAAGAGGAACCAGTGGTTGGAGACTCTAGGGGATATGACTCAGAACCGATGTCAGTGGTGCAGATGTATACACACATTATCCCCATCCTAACGACGCTATACCGAATCTCACCATTTTGTCATTCCTCTTTTCTTTCTTCTCGTATTTAATATTTCTTCTGACTACATTCTCTTATCTTCATCCTTCACCTCACTACCTTTCTACTTGATTCACTGATATGAGCTGTGATAATTCGGACCGTAACGCAGTAATGCCTGGTCCTATGCTGATATTGATTGATTGATTCTTTCTATTGCGAGGTGACTCATTCGTGGATGAATATTAGTTTCGATTAGATTTCTTTGAGAATTCAACAAGTGTATAGTTCGTGTACTTGGTATTTAGTTTACTTCCTAGAGTGAAACTCCTTACCTATTCTTTACTTCTTTCACATATCTCGTATAATGAAATTGAATGCAGAAAAAACCAGCTATTTCATTGGGACAAAATTATTATTATTATTTCTCCCTTGGGTTCCTAATGGAACATAGGCTTCAGCAGCACGTCTCCACTTTACTCTCTCTCTGCAGTCTTTTGAACCTGGCTCCACACAGCCCACAACCTCTCATTTCTTCTTCACACGATCTCCTCCATGTCACACTCACCTCGGACGCCCAACTTGTCGCTTCCCATCGGGATTCCGCTCGACGTCCTGACGCGTAATGTCCCCAGTCGGCCTTCTCAATGTATGCCCAATCCATCCCATCTCCACTTCCTTTTGCATATTTGTGTTGAGCGATAGCCTCTTGGTTAGTGCGTTGCCAGCCAGTCAGCCAGAGTTGCTTGTTGCTTATTCTTTCTGGCAATCCATCTGAGCTTCAGTAACGAGCCAGCGTAGACAGTTGTTGATGAATGTATGCAGTGTTTTTGGAAATCCCTTTCGTGAGGCGCCAAGTCTCTCAACCATCACATAGAAGCACTGACTTGACTGAAATAGTGTTGCAAATCCGGATCTTGTTCACGCTGTGTGCTGAGTGCAGTGCAGAAGATCTCCACATTGGTTTCAGGCTGATGAACGTCTGTCTTGCTGTGTTTCTGATCCTGTCTGGCTTTACGTCTTCGTCTGTGCTGCCTATAGTTGAAACAGTGCTGCCTAGATAGTGAAGGAGGCTACTTCTTTTAAGTTCCTCCCATTGATGGTGATTAGTGCTTGTTGTTGTTGTTTGGGTATCTTCATCACTTCTGTCTTCTCTATGGTCACTTGAAGTCCAGTCTTCGCTGCCTCACCTCTTCTGTCAACTTGTTAGTTTCTGCATGTAGATCTTCAAGTTTGAAACAACATGATACCATTTTATTTCGTCGGTTTCTCATCAGCTGCTTACAACACCTAAAAACATTAAAATATTATTAAACGAAAGAGTTGAAACATACTTTGTCCAGCCAAATGAAGTTATCTAACAAGAATTAATATGAGGTTAGTAAGAAATACCAGTTATACAACTGATTCAACATAGAACTTCGCTTTCAACTCCATGGGTTCAAGTTGCCATGCATCAAAGTAGTATAAAAAGAATAAGTGGAAGGATGATGACTAATATTAAAACAAACAGGAATGTATGCGACGAACAACAATGTGCAGAAGAAACAGTTAGTCCCTTTTATGAATTTCGATAGCGTAATTAGAAGACGAAGTTTATTTGAGCAATGTGATGTATTTGCGCAATACATTTCGAACAATCTGATCCGTCACACATTTACTTGTCAAGTCAGTCTATATTAAACCGAGGACTAGGAGGGGGGATAAATACAACAATTACGTCACATCCCATTGTGTTTACCAATTTACATGTGTGTGGTCACAGATACATAGGGAGGAGTAATCGAGTTATGCAGTTGAAGGTGGGAAAACATGTGCCTAAATGGCTTCAAAATAAATGGAGTGTGAAACAGTAATAAACGCTGGTGGGAGACGACCCTCTTCATCTACAGATAAACATATTATAGAAACAGGTCACAAAATTAGTGTTCAAACAGCTTTCAAAGTTTCATATAGAAACAGTAAGTCAGGGACGCATAATGAAATTTGCGGAAGCCTTAGCCATACACAAATTGAAATCACCTTTATGTGTACAAAAAAAATTTGTTCTTATACACTACACCTACCTTGGTAAACTTGGTTTGCTTACCAAGATTAGGACCATGTCACTTCCTGTTTTTCCTCATCTTTTTTAATTTTAATCCCCTGCTTGTGTTAATTGTTGTATTTATCCCCCCTCCCAGTCCTCGATTTAATATATATTGACTTGAGACAAGTAAATGTGTGAGGGATGAGATTATTCTAAATGTTGTATTTCTCAAATATATCAGCCACATTGTTCAGATAAACTTCGTCTTCTAATTACGCTATCGAAATGTGAAGAAGACGTCAAGGAGTGAACACGCTTGTACCACATTGTGACCGAATTTCAAAATCCGACTGTGGTTAGCTTAGGTTACAGCACTCTTTTTATGCCTGCGTCTAAAAATTATAGAAAATGAAGAGATGATGATAGATATTGGCGAATTATTTGAACAACTTTTCATATGATTACTGGTTTTAAATTTACAAACTTCATGATCCACAATGATATTTCTTACAATTGAGTTCTTACCTCCTCCTCACTTGTAGCGTCAACATACTATATGTTGGAAACTACTCAGCTACAATTTTGAAGAGAGATTCTGAACTCGAAAGTGGGGAGAATTTTTGAAGAGGAAGTTAACACCTATAGTAACTTATAATGAGCTGAAACCTCGTAGATATCGGTTACCGTATTTGTATGGTCTGCCGAAAGTGTATTAAGTTAATGTCTCCTTGTGCAACATTAAACAAATCATCATCGTCGAAACCCAAATCTTCTAGGATCTTTTAATCGATCCAGGCAGCGTATGACCCTTTCTCGCTGTTTCTTGCATGATTCAGTCCAGTCCAGTCGACCACAATCAAGATCATCGGTGATAGTAGGCAGCTTTGTCTTACTTCTGTCTTCACTTCAAAGGCGTTACTGAGCTTTCCATTATGAATCACTTTGCATATGGAGTCTTCATATAGTTGTTGAATGAGGTCGATGAAGGTTTGTGGTACTCCGTAGTGTTGAAGCAACTGCCAAATTACTTGTCGGTCGACGCTGTTGAAGGCCTTTTCAAATTTGATGAAGTTGACTTGACTGTCATTCTATGCTCTGTTCTATGAAATGTCTCCATAAACTAAGACTATTAATGGTCAGCTTACCGTTGCACAAGCTTGCCCGATAGCTGGCAAAACATACAGAACGCGTACGCATAAAAACTAACTCTTCATAGTCTGAAAGATACCTTCGAGTTAAATCCTCTCAGAAATCCATGTCTTTTTTCCATGTGTCATTTTTATTTACAAAGAGAGACAATAGATATCATATGTCAGTAATCCAAACCTACTGCCATTTCTAAGACATAAATTCAAACAGCTCCTACTGATGTATACGAAAAATGTTGAATTTCAACTCAATAGCGTGTTATACTGTCAAATCGATGGTGTCTCCATGAGCAACCCTTTGAACTCGATCCTCACTGGTATCTCCATGGGTTTTGTAGAAAAGACAAAAACTGAAATATGCAACCGACTTAACAGCATTCTAAGTAAAGCACGTTGATGATACATTTGTTGTATGCAATAGTGACAAAGATCACTATTACTTATTGAATCTTTTCATGAAGCTTATCACAATATGCGATTCATAATGGAAATTAAACGTAACAACAAATTTTACTTCTTAGACCTTTGTTTAAAAAGTCATACAGATGGATACATCCATCGGAAATATACAAAAGTTTCGCATTGATTAGCATTCTTCGTCAGTTAAATCTAGGTACTAGACTGCCTTATTCATCAGTTGGGGCTGA